AAGCCCTCAGTTGTAGGCTGTGCCCGCCTTTCCCCGGTGCCTGGGCAGGAAGCCAGTCGCCCGCCCATACTTCGGCCCAGGCTAGAGAAGGGCAGTGCCCTCCCAGAGGCTCATCAGTACCAGGGCGTTTTTCCATCTGGACCTGAGCTCAGCTGTCTGGCAGCCACCCCTGCTGAGTGGGGTCTCTTGCTGGGGCCTCCACCCTTGGGCCCCCCATAACCTTCTGTCCTCTGGGTGCCTCAGCATGTACCCTGAAACTCCATGGTTCACAGCCGGAGGGCCCCTGTGTGAGGGGTCTCCTGGTGGTTGGGGAGGGGTCACAAGACTAAGAGGCCGGGCTAGACTCCTTCTCCTGGCATGTTCTATGGAGGTGCACAGCCTGTGGCTTCTGTGGAGGATGTGGGAGGGGCCCCCAGTCCTCTCCGTCCCTTCCTGTGTTGGGCACTCCTCGCTGTTGCTGCTGCATCCTCTGGTTGCTCAGGACAGAGCCCTGTGTGGCGCTGCCGTGCTGAGGGCCAGGACGGGCCTCAGTGCCACGTTGTCGGGAGTGGGAGCTGTCCTGTACTCTGTGTGGCAGGGACCTCTAGGTCTCCAGACCCGGGTCCTTAGTGCTTTCCAGGATTCTGGGAAAGGACCCGTGTTCCTGATCCTGCCCTGCTGACCAGAACCCCACTCAGGGACACAGCAGGCCGTGGAGGCCACGGGGCTGGGACCATGCCTAGCTGCCCATCTCTGGTCTTAGCTTGGGTCTCCTCGTGCTGAAGCCTGAGGACCAGGGGGACTAGGTCCAGCCAGGCGCAGGACTGAGGGGACAAGGGGGACCAGGGTGCAGCCAGGCGCGGGGCCGAGGGGACAAGGGGGACCAGGTGTGGGGCCGAGGGGATCGGGGGACCAGGGTGCAGCCAGGGTGACCAGGCACAGGGCCAAGATAGCCTGACACGGCCCTCGGGCCAGATGTTCCAGCAGGTCGACTTCAACAAGAAGCCGGGGCGCATGAGCTCCAAGCCCATCAACTTCTCTGTGATCCTCAAGCTGTCCAATGTCAACCTTCAGGAGAAGGCCTACCGGGTGAGGCTGGCTTCCTGGGGAGGGGCCTGAGCAGTTCCCAGGGTGGGGTTGGGGGTGCTGAGGTGAATGGGAGGGGGCTGGCATCCTCCGAGTTCAAGTATGGACCTTCATGGTCTATCAGGGCTGGGGGCCCAGGGCCCTGTCTTGCAGTCCCTGCTCTGGAGATGAGGCTGACCTGATAGCCTGAGTGGAGGAGACTGAGTGCCAGCCCCTGCTTCTCCCTAACGCGCTCAGTCCTCTCCCCTGCTCCTCAGGACGGCCTGGTGGAGCAGCTGTACGACCTCACCCTGGAGTACCTGCACAGTCAAGCACACTGCATCGGCTTCCCGGAGCTGGCGCTGCCCGTGGTCCTGCAGGTGTGTGTCCTGCCCACACCTGCTTGTGGCCGACTCATCCTGTCTTATAATGGGCCCGGCTGCCCCGGGCCGGTAGAGGTGTCCTTGTCCCGGGTACCTGGGGCGGGGCAGAGCCCGACTGGTGTAGAGGCTCCACGCTGGCAGCCCCCACCCCGGGCCCCCGTGGAGGGGTGATGGGGAGCCTGTGGTGTCCTTGGGGGCCATGGGACTCTGACAAGGGGTTCTAAGCCATTCAGGTTTGCGGGCAGGCTTGGGCAGCGGGCTAAGGACCCTGGGAGTACAACAGCCTCCTCCCAGGGGGGCGCCACAAGGCTGATCTTCATTTCGGGGTTGGGACTGAGTGTGCCGACCCTGGCTCAGGCTGGTGCCCTGACCGCACACTTCCCCGGGCCATCCCGGGTGTGGGGAGTGGGTGGAGTGGCTTCTCAGTGGCTGGAAGGCCCGGCCTGCCTCGCCAGATGCCCCAAGTCAGCCTCACCGTAGGCCGGAGGAGGGCGGAGGAGGGGCTTGTCCTTGTCCTCAGAAGGTCCTTCGGGGTCCACGGGAGGCCTGTTTGCTCTCAGCCCTGATGTTTCCAGCCTCGGAGGCCTGTGCCCAAAGGGAGGGGTGGAGGCCCCGATGTCTGGCCCTGGTGGCTAGAATCAGATGTGCCAATTACAGGTTTGTGGGGAGGAGGGGTCTGCCCACCTGAGCCACAACTGGTCAGAGGCTCATCAAGATACAGGGGGGTGTGTGTGTGTGTGTGTGTGTGTATTCAGTCACACATGGCCACACACACGTGTCACGTGTCACAGGCACAGAGCCGGGACCCTCTTTCCGGGGGCACTCAGAGCAGGGGCCTCAGTCTGTGTTCCTCCCGTGTCCTCTTGCATGGCGATGCCCGGCATTGGGGCATCTCTGCTTCTGGACTCCAGGGCCCAGGGTTGGGTCTAGAATAGGGGTCAGAAAATGTTTCCAGTAAGGGGCCAAACGGTGAACATTGCTTCCCACAGATGTTCAGCTGCACAGGCAGCTGCAGGAGCCATGCAATGGACACACCAGTGAAACTATTTTATTATTATTATTTTTTGAGGTGGAGTCTCGCTGTGTTGCCCAGGCTGGAGTGTAATGGTGCGATCTCGGCTCACTGCAACCTCCACCTCCTGGGCTCAAGCAATTCACCAGTCTCAGCCTCCGGAGTAGCTGGGTGTACCGGCACCCACCACCACACCCGGCTATTTTTGGTATTTTAGTAGAGACGGGGTTTTGCCATGTTGGTCAGGCTGGTCTTGAACTCCTGACCTCAGGTGATCCACCCGCCTCAGCCTCCCAAAGTGCTGGGATTACAGGCGTGAGCCACCGCGCCCGGCATAAAACTTTATTTCCCGAGGTGGCGGCGGGCAGCATTGGCCCAGAGGGTGGGGTGACTCTGCCTCTGCCACCCCAGCCGCAACACCTATGCACTTGAGCCCTGAGATTGAGTTCCCTCCTGGGGTATCCCCGTGGCCGCCACGCGTGGTTCTGCAGGGGACCTGGGCCAGCTGTGCACATGGAGCAGCCCTGGGCTTCAGTGGCTGACCCCTCCCTTCCACAGCTGAAGACCTTCCTCCGGGAGTGCAAGGTGGCCAACTACTGCCGGCAGGTGCAGCAGCTGCTTGGGAAGGTTCAGGAGAACTCGGAGCACATCTGCAGCCGCCGCCAGAGGGTTTCCTTTGGCGTGTCTGACCAGCAGGCAGTGGTTAGTGGAATCGGGGGGTAGTGCCACCTGAGGGCACCTGCCAGGAGTGTAGCTGGGATGTGGGGGTTTGCCCAGGGTAAGGCATGACCCTGAACTGCCCCAACCCCCCAGGAAGCCTGGGAGAAGCTGACCCGGGAAGAGGGGACCCCCCTGACCTGGTACTACAGCCACTGGCGCAAGCTGCGTGACCGGGAGATCCAGCTGGAGATCAGTGGAAAAGAGCGGGTGCGGCTTGGGAGGGGCCTGGGGTGTGGTGTGACTTGCTGGGTTTTCAGATCTAGCTCATGGACTGTGACGTGAGACTTTGCGGCCAGGGTGAGGGTTTGGAAACAGTGCCAGACGGCCGGGGCCATGGTGCTGGGCTGCACTGCCAGGGCAGTGCCCAGATGATTCAACTTGGAGAGGGGATAGGTGTTGCAGAACTGACCAGAGCCAGGTGTTTCCAGAGAGGGGAAGCCCGGGGCTGCACTGGGTTGGGGAGGCCACACCCCCTCAGGCCTGATGGGCTGGGGGCTCTGGGCAGGTGGAGTGGCTGGACTGACGTTGCCACCCCGGCCGGCAGTTGGGGAGAAGCAGGAAGGGCTCTGCCTTTGACCTTGGACATGGGGTGGGTAACCTGGAGGATGGCTTTGTGCTGACTGGGGAACAGAGAGGGGACTAGAAATTGGCCACACGGTCTTGGTGGTGGGTCTGGCGATGCCTGGCCCAGCTGTGGCCGTCAGCCCCTGCCCTCTCCCACCTGAGCCCCTGGCTCTTTGGCCTTCCAGATGGAAGACCTGAACTTCCCTGAGATCAAACGAAGGAAGGTGGTGGACAGGAAGGATGAGGACAGGAAGGAATTTAAAGACCTCTTTGACCTGAACAGCTCTGAAGAGGACGACGACACTGAGGGCTACTCGGAGAGAGGTGGGGCCTGTGTGGTGCTTCCAGGGGAAGGGTTGGCCTGGAGGGCTCTGCTGGACTTCCCAGAGCCACGAGGGCCATCTGTACCCACCCTGCGGGGCTCACCAGTCCCTGGCCCAGCTGGGGCCAACCTCAGTGTTCCCAGGCTTCTGGTGCTAGTGACCCTCGAAGTAAAGGCCTACTGGGATTGGTAACGCTGTCCCCAGGCCTGTGACCTCCCAGTTCCTCTCCACGTGCTTGAAGTCAGCGGAGGGAAGGGCGGGCATCCAGGCAGGGTTGTGAGCCTGGCCACCCTCCTGCCCCCACTGTGACTTTGCTGGACCCTGTGGGTGGGAGTCACATGGGCTCTGCTCCTTGTTCCTCAGGGATACTGGGGCCCCTGAGCACTCGGCATGGGGTGGAAGAGGACGAGACGCTGGGGCCCCTGGGCACTCGGCATGGAGTGGAAGAGGATGAGGACGACTCGGAGGGTGAATGGTCTTGCGGTGAGGGGGTGTGGCCCTGTGATCCCATCTGGCGGGAGGGCAGAGCATAACCGGGGCGGGGAGGTGGGCCGGGGGCTCGGGGCCAGGCTTTTCCCTCCCTGGGGAGGCCAAATGGTCTATTCTCTCTGGCTCTGGCAGCCAGCAACAGCGGCAGGGCTAAATTAATTAGTGCCGTGATTAATTAGTGATGAGTAACCTCCAAGGCTGGCTTCTTCCTGATAAAGCAGAATGTATGTGGCCTCCATCTCTCCACAGATGGAGACCCAGACGCAGAGGCGGGGCTGGCCCCTGGGGAGCTGCAGCAGCTGGCCCAGGGGCCGGAGGATGAGCTGGAGGCTCTGCAGCTCTCTGAAGAGGACTAAGGCAGCCCATCTGGGGGCCTGCAGGGGCTGCCGTGCTGGTGGCCAGTGTTCCCACCTCTCTGGCAGTCAGGCCCAGAGGCTGGCGTCTGTGCAGCTGGGGGAGGCAGTAGACAGGGGACAGGCTTTATTTATTTTTCAGCATGGAAGACCAAACGGACTGAGAGCTGTGCTGGGCTGGCGTGGCTGCCGAAGCCCCACAGCTCTGGGCTGAAGCCAGCTCCGCTGGGGAGACGATGACCCTGATGTCAGGAGACTAGACCAGTCCTAGTTCCAGGGGGAGGCCTGCAGACCCCTGGCCCCTTCCACCACCTCTGCCCTCCATCTGCAGACCTCGGCTGCACCAGGCTCTACATTCACTCCCCCAAGTCTTTGGAAATTTCCTCCTTTCCTTTGAAGTCACATTTTCCTTCAAAATTTTTTGTTTTGCATCCAAAACCAAAAGAAATAAAGCTGTGGGAGGCAGGGCCATTGTAGTGAGTGGTGGCTCCTGCAGATTTGTGTGGCCCCACCCCGTACCCCCGGCCACCTCAACACAGAGGCTGGGAAGGGTCAGGGGCCCCTGGAAGCAGAGCCAAAGTCCCATTCTCCTGCTTGGGTGAAGCTCGACCAGCAAGGGTGTGGCCCCCTCCATAGGGGGACGTGGCCGTCTTCGGGGACAAGGGCTGCTCTCCTGTGCCGAGTTCTCGCTCCGGGGCCCGCAGGATTGGTGGCTGCAGTGGCAGAGCCACAGGGAAGCTGGCCATGTAGAAGACTCGGCCCAGGCGCCTGGCCACCTGCAGAGAGAGGGCCTGGTGGGGGCTGGCGCACACCCACCCAGAGCTTTCTGCCCAGCTGTGGTCTGGAGATCCTGACCTCACTCCCCCGCACACAGCTCACCTGGGCCCGGATCTTAAGGGCGGGCCCCAGCTTCAGCCCCATGGTGCTCAGCAGGTGCTCCTCCGTCAGCAGTGGCAGGGTCTCCCCGTCGATCCCCTGCTCCCTGAAGACCTGGAAGAGAGGGTGGGTCAGGACCCGGGTGCCTGCTTCATCCTCCAGCCCAGGAAAACCAAGGAGAACTGTTTGTGCAGCTCATAGAAATTTTTTTAAAAAATGATCTGTTGGGTTTGAGTCGGTGTCAGGCAGAAGACACCTGGCAAAAAAAGGTGGGGTTCATAGTCCTGTCCCTGCCACGCGCTGCTTTTAGGGAGGGAGAGGACGTCGGGGAATAGCCCTACCCCACCATGCTTTCCAGGGAAGTAGTGAGTGTCAGCTCCAGTCCTGCCCCGGGGAATGGACACCCCCTTACCCGAGTGTACTCTCCGCAGCCAGACAGGCCCCCCACGAAGTTGCAGACATCATCCACGGTCCATTTGCTGACGTCCTCGGGGGCTGGGGCCTCCTCCCCATCCACGGAGAGTCCCCCTACGGCGCCTAAGTTGTGGGGCACGTTACTAGAGCTCTGGCTAGCTTTCCAATACCCGCCCGTCTCCTGACCTTCGTGTGCCCCAATTGCTCAGGTGTGGGATGGGAACCTAAGTGGGATTTTCCTCCCCACGGCCCCTCCTTCCCCAAGACCCTTCCACAGGCGGCCTGCCAGTCCTGTGGCCTCTGGAAGGATCTAGAGTGTGGGGGTGCCCACCTGTGTGAAAGTAGGAGCTGACGGCATAGGGGAAGCCCAGGGGCAGCGGAGGGGGCAGTGTGGACCCTGAGAAAAGCCCCTTCCCCTCGGCGCCGGCCCCTCCAGCTGGAGCTTGGCCCGGAGTGGGCCCCCGGCACCCAGCAGCTGCCGCCTCGGGGTCCTCTCCGTCCGAGTCTTTGGGCGGCTCGTCCTCCGAGCCATCTTGTGCCCAGAGCCTAGCCCCCGTCATCTCTTTGGACTCGCTGGGCCGGGCCGAGGCAGAGCCGGGACCCCCTTTCCGGGGGGCTCGCCGGGCAGAGTCCCGGGACGGGGTGGGGGGTCCGGAGCCCGGGGGCCCCTGGGGGGGCAGGGCCAGCAATGGCGCCGCGCCGTGGTTCAGCACCAGCAGGGCCCCGCGCCGCTGCAGCTCCTCGGCGCCGTCGTTGGGGCGCAGGGCGGCCTCGGGCGCCAGCAGCTGTGGGCGCACGCCCTCCAGCTCCTTCTGCCGCAGGAGATCGGCGGGCAGCTCCAGCCTGGGCCGGGGGCAGACGCGGGTCAGCCGCCTCCCGGGCTGCGCGGGCCCGCCCGCCTCCCCGCACCTACCGGGCCAGGTTTTGCTTCCGCAGGAGCTCCTGCTGCCGGGCGAACATCTCCGCCTGGGCTGGGGGCAGGAAGCCGTAGCCTGGTGGGGAGGGGACAACGCGGGGTCGGGGGTCCGAGTCCGCCCTTCGCAGCCCCCGACCCCGTCCGTCTCGGTCCGACAGGGGCAGGGACGGGTCCGCGGAACTCCACGCGGATCCCAAGGGACGCGCACCCGCCTCCTCACCTGGGGTTTGGCACAGAGCCGAGGGCACCCCCAGGAAGGGGGGCCTGAGATGGGGGCCCAGGGCGATGTGAGGGGCATTCTGGGGCGACAGCAAGGGGGGCGGCTGCGGCAGCTCCCTGTGGACGGCAGCGCAATGAGCGGCGCCCCCCCCCGCCCCATTCCCGTAAAGGCCCCGGCGCCCCTCCCCCGCCGCCTCCGCTAATTGCCGGCCCCGCGGGCGGTCGATGCGTAGCTCGTTACGGCCCCAGGTCGCGCGCCATCCCCGCCCCCGCCGGCGGCGCCAATTAATCTCGGCGGCGGCGCGGAGGCGCTGACCCGGCGGGCGGCGGCGGCTGCAGCGGTAATTACTGCGCGGGGCGCCGGCCCCGCCTGCTCCCCTCCCCTGCGGACCCGAGCGGCGGGGGAAGCGGGGGCGTCATTAGCCGCAATCCGGGCGGCGGTGGAGGCAGCTGCAGACGCCGGGCTCAGCAGCCGGGCGGGGACTCGGTCTTCAGGCGGCCCCTCCCTTCTCCAGGACCCCCGCCCCCGCCCCCGCCCCGCCCTGTCTTCTGGACCCCAGAAACCCGGGTCTGTGCCGGAGGCCTTGTCTGTGCCGGGAACAGATCCGGCGCCGGCGTCTGAATTTGAGCGCCAGCCAGGATCCCCTCCGTCTCCAGCTCTGAGTCCTCTGGCCAACCCCTCCCGACTGACCCCGGGGTTCCAGCCTTGGAGCTCTCCCCTTCTCTGGCTTCTCCTCCAGGGAACCCCCGGACCGGCCTCAGCCTCTCTCACCCACCCCAGTGGCGCCCTCAACACTGCAGCCCAGAGCGGTGTCACCCCCGAAACGCTCTGCCCGGACCCGAACCTAGACCTGAACACAGTGCTTGGCACACTCGGGGCGCGTGCTGGTGGCTGAGAGCGTGGGGTGCGGGTCGTACCCCAGAAACAAGCAGAGAACGGCAGCCACCCCAGTACCTCTCCGAGAAGGACGGGGCGACAGCTGGGGCGGCGCCCTCCCGGTGCTGAGCCAGGCCCTGCTTCCGGCGCTGACCTGCCGCGGAGGAGGGCAGGTGGGCTTCCAGGCCACTGGGGCCCCTCAGAGCTGAAGCTGCCACCTCCTGCCGGACCCTCAGGAGATCTGGGTGGGGGACAACAGCAGTGACCCCCTGGCTATTCGCCCCCCTTCCCCAGCCCGCGTCCTAGCGTAGAACACGGAGGTGGGGAAGTAACCGCAGCACTCGGCCGCGTTCGGCCCCGGGCCGGTTTCGGGCACGGGGCAGGAGGATGGGCGGCCACAGGGCCGGGGCGGCAGACAAGATTCTGGGCGGGGAAGTGTCGGGAAAGGCTTTTGCCCGAAGGGCAGCCGGGAGCCTGGAGGCCGCTGGCCTGAGGCGGTGAGCCTTGCGGGGAGGGGGCTGTGCAGAGGTCCCGAGGACACAGCGCCTGCGGGGCAGCGAGAGAGTCCAGGAGAGCCAGCCAGGGCTGACCGCCCAGGGCACCCCCCTCCTCGGTGGGAGGCAAGAAAATCTGAGGTCCCCATAGTAGACACGGCCGGCCAGAGCTTGTCACAACGGCAAGGCAGGGCCCGTGCACGCACGCCACACTAGCACAGGGGTCGCCGGCTGCGCAGGGTCACTGTCCCGCGTGGCCACACTCGCCCCGATGCGCACGCAGCGCCCGCGTCTAAGGCGCCGCCTCCCAGGTCTCTCGGCCTCTCCCTCCCGCCCAGGCCCGGGCCTCCCGAGTCCCCGCAGCCCCCACTGTGCAGGCTCCGCCAGCTCCACCGCCGCCTGTTTATAAATTAATTACCCGAAAGCGGAGGTGGGTCCCGCCCCGGGCCGGCTGCCAGCCCGCAGAGCCCAGCCGGCGCGGCCGCCCGCATCGATCCCAGCGGGGCCCAGCGCCCCCGCGCTCGCGGCCGGGGTTATTTACAGCCGGCTCCGCGGCGGGGCGGGGGCGGGGGCGGCGGCGCGGCCTGATTGACAGCGCGCTCCCCGGCGGCCGGCGCCCCCTCCCCCGCGCGGCCAGCAGAGCGGCCCCAGGCAGAGCAGGGAAAGCAATTAAAAAGGAGGATTTTTAAATTATTAACATTTGGTGAATTATTCAGGCTCTTGGTGCCTGAGCTGCCCTGGGGGACGGTGCCTGGTGTGAGGAATCCTGCCTCCTTTCCCGGCGCCCCCACCCACCTCTAGCCCGAAAAGCCAAGCTCCCCTGCCAGGCGGGCGGCTGGGGCCTGGGAGGCTGAGTGCAGCGGGCGGGAGGTCCGACTGCATCCCGGAGTGACCCTGGAGAACGTCATGAGGTGGGGTGGACAGGGTCAGAGCCGACCCGAGGGAAGGGGCAGCCCCTCCAGCTGGAGTCTCTTCAGCACTTGGGGAGTCCTGGTGGCAAAATGCCCGCTGCACCCAGCCCGGCCGTGCTGCTCACTGCCCCTCCCCAGGCTCCCGGGGCCGGCATCTGGCAGGTCAGCGTCCCCAGCTGGAGAGACAACTCACAGGCCACAGGGTCCAGGAGCTCTCCTCCGCGGTGCTGCTGAAATGCCCACCATCCACCCTCACCTGGTCCACCCCAGACTCCATTTCTCCATATACAAAATGTGAGTCACCCATGAGCCTGGGGGCCTGGAGGACATGGAGGTGTGGCCCGCCCCGGGGGGCATGGGGCAGGACATGTGGCAGAGGGTCCCTCCAGGGACCTGCATCCAGCCTGGCCTTGGTGTCAGCAGAGCCTCACCAACAGGAATGGCCGAGCACAGGTAGGTGGGGAGGTGATGAGGGCTCATTCCTGGGGGGGATCATGCCAGGGTGGGTCCTCACCGTGGCTGGGGAGGCCCAGGTGGTAGAGGCGCTGAGGGTCCTCAAAGGTGCTGGCCTCGCTCAGCGCCGACACGAGCCGACGGTAGTGGTCCTCCGGGGCCATGTTGGGCCCCAGCTCTGGCGGCAGCAGCAGTGCTTCTACTGGGGAGGACCCGGGGTGAGAGGCTTCTCCAGGCACTGCCGGGGAACACCCCCTCTAGAGCCCCTGCTTGAGGTCCAGGGACCCTCGGGGACTGCCCCCTCCCCTGGTGACCTGTAAGAGACACGCTCTTACCTTGGGGGGATTCGCTTCGTGCCCTCTTCTCCGAAGAGCAGTCGCTGCTGATATGGGGGGAGCGGCCCAGCCTCTTGCCCAACAGGTCACCTGCGGGAGGGTAGTGAGTGCCCACCTGCATCTCAAGGAGTGGAAGGGGGACCCAGCCCCTGCTCCAGCTCAGCCTGGACAGCACCCACCATCTCTCAGGGGGCCCTTGGTCCTGGTGAGTACAGGCCTGCCCAGCCCTGGGAGCCCCAGCCTTCAGCGCAGAGGACATCACGCCTGGCTGTGGTGGGGCAGGGGCCCAGGAGAACCCTGACACTGGCCTTGGTGCTGGTGCATGTGTGCAGAAGAGATCCACAGCAGGCACCCGGCTGCCCCACCCGCCAGCCTAGCTTCTTGTGCAGTTAATGAGCCCCCCATCATCCCCCTGGAGGAGAATAAAAAGCTTTTGATTGGACTGGGCAGCACCTTCCCCTCCTGGACAGGGGTGAGGGCAGGCTGTGCAGGGTCACATGCCAGCGTGGGGTAGGACAAGCCGGGAAGGACCTCACACCTGACCTCTTCCTGCTCTGTGAGTCACTGGCCTGTGGGCCCCCCAGGCCACCTTGAGGCCCTTCCACTCCCAGGCCTCCTACTTGGTCATACCCATCCCTCCCCCTAGAAGGCCCAAGTCCTCCTCTCTGGCCCAGTCCTGCCTGAGCTAGCACCCTAGTGTGGCTGTCACGTCCTGTCCACCTGCCCAGCCAGGGTCTGGGCTCTTGGGGTGCACCTCCCAGTAGCCTCACCCACCTCCTCAGCCAGGAGGCCAGCCCAGCAGGTGGCAGAGGGGAGGCCCAGGCCAGGCCCAGCCCACTCTCCTGAGGTCCTCCCTTGGGTTCTGCTGACCACACCCATTCCAGACCATACCATCCATGTACCCATCTCCGACCTACCCCAAGCTCCTCCCAAGCCCCTGACTCCACGCCCTGGGGGTCTCCCGGGCCAGCCAGTGCCTCCGACTCTGGCTCCTCCTCATCCTCATGAGGCCTCTAGGTGGGTGGGGTGAGGGGCCACCCCCCTGTGACCCAAGACCTCCGTGAGGCCTAGGCAGTGGGGCTCCCAAGCCCGTCCCCCCACAAGCCCTGCTGTCAGCTCCAGGCCTAATTCTTTTTTCTTATTCCCTTAATCTGTCATTTTTATCAGGCTGGGGAAGTGCGGCGGCCACACCGATCAATCCCACATTACAGCTGACAGAGCGGTGCTAATAACTTATTGATCCTGGCCCGGCCACTGTCAGGCCCGGCCCCAGAGACAGGGTCAGTCCCATGGCCTGGTCCAGGGTCCCCGCCTCAGTGACAGATTGGGCGGCTGGGCCCCGTGGGCGGCGGGGGGCACCTGGCCACGCACGGATCCAGGGACATGCCAGAGCTCCGTGGGCTGGGAGGGGTGGGCCAAGGCTGGAGGAGCCTGGCCCTTTTCCGCACCTGCTGCCTGGCCCACCACGCACATGCCCTCAGGGTTAGCAAGGCCTCTCACCTCCTGACCATTAGTTTTCCATTTTACACGGGGAAACTCCCCTTTCCGTTTATGTGGGGGGCTAAGGCCTCCTCATAGCCTGGGGGAGGTGACTGGGTGGGGGAGTCAGGGGGAAGGGGGCCTGCCAGGAGACCGCAGGAAGGCCGATGAGGCCACGCTCGCTCCTCACTCGTGGACCCCAGTGGTCTCACAGAGGCAGATGCAAGACCTGCTCTGAGTCCCTCGCAGTCCAGGGCCCAGGGAGGTGCAGCTCAGCGGGAGGGCCCGGGCTGGGAACAGCATAGATGTGTGGTTCCTGGGGTCACAGGAAGGGAGAAGAGGTGAACGCCCCCTCCAAGAGGAAGCTCCAGGGAGCGGGCCAGGCCCTGACACGGAGTGTGTGTGGGAGACCTGGACACGGGTCACAGGACACACGGGCCCTGTAGAGCCTAGGAGCCTGGAAGTGCATGAACACGCCCTGACTCCGTGGGTGAGACCTGCCGGGCAGCCCCCATCACGTGCACCCCACAGGACCGCAGACACACACATGCCTGCACATGCGCACGTGTGTACCTGAGGAGGTCTCCCTGTGTGAGGGCACAGAGGGAGGGCCTGCTGGCTCAGAATATCTCAATCACTGTGGGGCTCCCTCAGCTCTGCCAATCGATGGGGCAATTAGATTTTATCAACCGCCTCTCAGCTGTCCTCCACGCGGCATCAGAAGCTGCCCCCACCCAGTCCCACAAAGGCATTCCCAGGCGCACAGAACGTGGATGGGGGACACAGATGGGGGCGGCCTCCCCCACCCCACCTTCCCAAGAGATGCAGGCCCTGCTGGGAACACCCCTGCCCGGGGTCCACAGGGCCTCAGGGGTGACCCCCTCCTTTCACGGCCTGCCCTGGGGCTGAGGCTCTGCTGTGCCCCTCTCTACAGCAGTGCCCTCTGAGGGGGGCCTGGGTCCCCAAACTGCCCCCTCCCTCTGAGGTCCTGTGCCGGGTTCCCCTTATCCCCCGAAAACTGTGACCAGGCAGCAGCACCTCCCTCAGGCACCGGATCCCTTCCCTCCCAGAACCCCTTCCCTCCCGGATCCCCTTTCCTCCGGGAGCCCTAGGAGGCGGGACCAGTCAGGCGTGCACTGCACGGTTCTGTGGGAGTGAGTGCATTCCTCCAGGGTGTGCATTTCTGAACCTCTGAGGCCACGCCTACGTCTGCTCTGTGAGGAGGGGGTGGCAGGGCCCCGCCACTCCAAGCCCACCCCAGCGGCAGCCACAGCGGAGGCAGCCACAGCGGAGCCACCGCCTCTGCCTCCTGTCTGCCCCGCTGGCTGGGATTAACACAATTACCATCACATGCAGCCCCGGGGGACAGGCCGCTCCTCCTGCCTCTCTGGCTGCCTGCCAAGGCTGCTGGTGCTGAGTGGAGACGCCACTGTCCTCTGGCCCCACAGCCCCGACCCCGCCCTCAGGCCCCCTGTGCTCCTCACCTGCAGGTCCCAGGCCGATCTCCAGGCTGCCTCTCTGGAATTCACAGCGGCTCTGATGCTCGGGCATCACGAGGTGGCGGCTGCGGTGGATGCTGGATATGAGGGTGGGAAGGTTGCCGTCCTGGCTGCAGAATGAGAGCGGGAAAGGCTGACCCCGTGGGCAGCTGCGAGAGGCTGGAGCCCAGCCTGGGCACAGGGAGTGCCTAGCTCTGCGTGTGATCGTGGGGACGACCTCTGAGTGCCGCGTGGCTGTGCCCACACCTCGGCATGTGGCCTGTGATGCCACTGTGTGCACACCCACGGAGCAAGCCAAAGCGACACAGAACCTGGCACTGGGACCCCACTGCTGCCCCAGGGAGCGTCTGTGTGGAGCACCAGCGGCTCTGCCTTCACGCCCTCTGGAGGGAATCGCACTGTTACCTCACTCCCTGCCTCAAAGGGGGTCGAGGGGCCCACCCGGCAGAGGGACCCCGCACGGGAAGAGGCTGGTCTGCACAGGGGCAGTCGCAGGACAGGCCCCAGGAGAGGACAAGCCACATGCGAGCTGCCAGCCCCTTGGTCATGAATTTCGGTGAAAACTTGCAACCATTCCCTGACCCCCGGTTTCTGCACACGAGGAAACTGAGGCCCAGAGCACAGTCCTGTGGCTGATGCACGCACACAGAGCACCAGCAGACACATGCAGCTTGCACCAGGCACCAGGGCTGTGTGCTCCGACCTCCCACTGTCCCCCAAGCAGGTGTGGGCTTGGAATCAACATGCATTTAACTCTTTTGTTCCCTCGTTTCTCCTCTTCTTGCTAATTCAGCCGAATCCCACATCCACAGAGTTCCAGAGAGCAATGGGAGGATCTGTGTGGAGCACGGCTCTCCACCCCTTCCCGGTTCCGTGAGCCTCTCCCCAGGTCAGCAGAGAAGGGGCTCAGGGTCCAGGCGCCGCTCCCCAAGCAGCATTCCTGCAGCGCAGCCCCTGCCCACCTGTAACGGAGCAGCCTCCCGGCGCAGTGACCTGGGAGCCAACCCTAAACCTCGTTAAATAGCCCCCAGCCCCCCTGACCTGGGCTGGCTGGAGCTGGGCTAATCCAGGGCTGCCCCTAAGCCGAGCACCAAAGACTCCCAGGCTGGGCTCTCAAGCCTTCCAGGAGACCCAGATGCCGGCTCTCTCCCCACCCCCACCGGCCCCCAGTGGGAACGCAAGCCCCCCCCAGGCACACAGGAGGGCAGCTGGGTGGGAGTAAGTACTTTATGGGATTAATCGGCAGCGAGTCTCATCCCTTCCATGATCCTAATCGATGCGGGGGTGTCAGGAGAGGACTGCTGGCCTCAGCATGGGGTGTGGGCCGAGGGCTGGCCTGGCAGCAGCCACAGCTGCCGTGGAGTTCTCCCCAGGGGTCCCCCCTCTGGTGTCCCCGGGACGCCTGCAGGAGGAGAACTAGCTTCCCAGAGACTCCAGAGGGTGGGGGCTGGCTGTGAGCGCTGAGCCTGGCGCCCAGAAGGAAAGTGAGGGAGGGCCTGACAGCTGGGTGGAGGGGCTGTGGCTGGGCAGGGGCACCTGGTGGGGAACCGGGTGCCACCCGCCTTCCCCACTCCTGGTCTCTACCTTGGAGTTTACTCCCGAGGCTCTGACACAGCCTGGCCTGGCCCAGCCCCTGATAACCTGTTCTGGTCACTTGGCCACTCAGTGAACCAATTATGCCAGTTTTATGTAAAGAAACACGCCCTGGACGTGCCAGAGCGGAGACGCAGGAACCTGGCCCGGGGCACATCATGGTCCTCGAACCACAGAATGCCCTCTGCACCCTCCTTCGCACAAGGGACAAAGTCCCTGAGGGTCTCTGTGGTGGGGCCGGGCCGCAGGTCAGGAGGTGGGGAAGCTGGGAGACGCAGTCAGGGCCAGGGCAGGAGGTGCAGGAAGGAGAGAGTGAGGGGGAGGCCAGAGCCTGGCAGGTGTGACCCCAGTTCCCCAGGCAGGGGCCTCCCGCCACCGCCCCTCAGTGATGACCACACAGTCCAGCCCTTGCCCATTTTTCCACCAGCTCAGGGGCCCAGGAGAGAGTGGCCAAGCCCCCGCCTGCAAACAATGGCTTGAGGAGCATCTGCCAGCCCTGGTTCCTGAGGCAGAGGAGGATGGCCTGGGGCTCTTCGGGCTCCAAAAGGCAGGTGGTCACTGCAGAGCCAGCCAGACAGAGGGACAGGGATGGAAGGACAGACGGACAGATGGGTGGAGACCAATGGATGGGAGCAAATGAACACACAGATGGAGGTGGCCTGGCCTCAGAGGCACCTGTGGGAGCCCGCACAGGTTCTGTGGGAGCCCGCAAAGGCAGACGGACCCAGGGACAGGCCGAAAGAAACACAGACACGGCCTGGGGCCAGTGTGGCCGCTGGGTTCAGGGACCACCACCCACTCTGACCAGACACCAGGGTCAGGTCCACAGACGGGGGCTTTAGTCCACTCAGACGTGCTGCGCTTTCTCCTTCGGGGACCCCAGCACGCCCTCCACTCTGACCGAAATCTCGCCCTTGGGAGATTCAGAAACTCATTCTAGCCCCTTCTAGGGCCCATGCAGGATGGAAGACCTGGCGTCTTCCTAGGGCACCCCAGGCTGCCAGCCGTCAGTGCTGCTGAGGGTCACTGCATTCCCGAGGCCAGGTGGACAGAGGAGGGGCTGCAGGCAGGAGGAGCCGTTACTGGAGCGGGGGGAACCGCGGCTGGTTTCCCTGCAGGCCTCACTGACAAATTTATCTGTAGTGTCCCAAGTAAAAGGCTCATAAAATGTCATCAATGTTCATGACAGTTCATAAAAATGATCAGTTGAGCTGGCAACCCCAAAATGAGGTGGAAATAAGTTTAAAGATGTTTTTATTGTAATTCGGCTCTGAGATTCAGACATCCTCAGAGACATAAATAACACATCTGGCGTGGAGCCAGGACCTGCAGGTCCCCTGGGCCCTCACGGCTCTGGCCCCGGGAAGCTGGCTTTGCGGCGGACACCCCCTTCCTGCCTTGCTGCCCTGGAAGCCGCAGGGTAAGACCTGACCCCACTGACAGAATCCACAGCTGGGCTCTGTTCACAGACTGACCACCCGCTTCCCCCTGGAGCCAGGAACTCGGGTCCCCCAACTGCCTTGACCTCTTCCCTGGGGCTCTTCATTTTCATCTCCTTCCCACATCCTGGAATCGCACCCGCTACTGTCCTGCTTCCACAGCCTGAATCCAATCCCCCGTCTGCCAGGAGGGCCTCCGGAGGGACCTTCTCCAAACGCACACCTGGTCATTGCCCCGCACAAGAACTTCCAGGGGCTCCCTGCCTAGAGGACAGCGCCCACAGGCCCAGCATCCACGAGCCTTCAGCATCCAACTGAGCCACAGCTGCCAGGTTCACTCCTCCTCCCTCCTACACGGCCTTCCCTGTTCCTCCACTCTCTGCAGACATCCCCTCGCCTTAGTGAGCTCCTACACATCTTCAAGGCCCCACTCACACACCATTCTCACCTCCTGGTGGGTCTGTAGCAGGGTGGGAAGGGGGAGGTGACAGCCTCATTTTTGGGCTCAAATGGCCAGTCTCACATGGGAGGAAGTGCACGCCAACTCTAGGGCCGGGCTACCCAGAACTCACACCTGTGCTGCTGCCGACATCTACCTCTGACTGGGCCTGGGGTCCCTCAGTCTCAACTGGGTGTGACACTGTCTGCCTCCCGGGCTGGGGGACAACCTTGCAGCACACGTCAAACCTGGCAGACGCTCAGCCAGCATCATCTCACGCTGTCTGAGACGGGGGACAGCAGCCAGCAGGCCACAGGCAGGGGTGGGAGGGAGGGAGGGAGGGGAGTCACGGCCCCCTCTTACACGCACAGCACGGCTCCTACCTGCAGGACGTCTCTCGGAAAGAGATGTTCAGGTCCCAGTGGGTGTGGACTCTGCAGGAAGGGAAGCAGAAGGTCCATGTTGCTCTGGAGGCCCCTGACCCCAGCCTCAGGACAGCAGACCTGTCTCGGGTCAGTGCCCTGCTGGGCCACAGCCCTGGGCAGTGAACGAGGGCAGCTGCTGTGCCCAGCACCATCTGCTGCTGGCTCAACGTGCTGGGGTCTCCTGCCAGGAGAGGCCCATGGACCAGTTCCTGCCTCAGCAGACACAGACGTCAGGAGACAGAACCGAGGCCCCTTCTCCCTCCGTCTTGTTGCACTCAGAGGAGCCCTGGCGTTCTACAGCAGGTAGGGGCCGAGGCTGCTTCCGCACAGTCAGTCATGAGCCTGAATGGAGCTCCTTGTTGCTGGAGCTGCTCTGGCCAGACTGGGACCCGGTCAGCAGGGGTAGCTGGAGCGTCGGCCCAGGCAGGTGTAGACCTCTGGGTCCCAACTGCTACCAACCTGCCTCCTGCAAGTGAGCGCCGCAGAGCAGAGGTGGGAGGGGACACCAGACGGGGCAGATGAAGAAACAGCTCCTGCCAGTGACCCACACAGGACCCCAAAAAGACTAGCATCCGAGGGAAGTGTGGGAGGCCAGTGTGGACGCTCTCATCTGAGCAGCTGAAGGCCGGAAGCTCCAACCCCATCTGAGCCTTGTGCCTTCCTGTCCGGCCCTGGTCCAAGTACCTTCTCTTCATGATACGGATGTGCGGGCCATCCTCCTGCTTCAAGCCTGGCCGCCGCCCACAGGTGGGACCACTCCCGTCGCTGTCACCATCGCTGGCAGAGAAGCTGGGAGTCCGCTCCTTCTTCAGGCTCCGGGCAGCAGGCAGGGCGACTGTCCTCTTGTCTGCCAGCCGCCCCCGGTTCTGGTGGGGCAGGAGGACAGGAAGGTGAGGCTGGACCGGGCTGTTGCGTCTCCCGGGGGTCTGCCCTGGCCTCTCACCCCAGGCCCAGCCCCAGGCACAGCGGAGGTGCCCTCGGAGCAGCCATCCTCCCTCCACCCACCTCCAGGATGGGCCTGGGGCCAGCAGGAGCCACAGCTGGCCAGAGACCCAGAGGAGAGCTGAGAGATGAGGCCTCAGTTGGGCATCCCCCTACAGACGACGCCCACTGGCTCAGCCCTCCTCTGCCCACCCCACCACAGCCCTTGAGAATGCTGGAGGGTCCTGGCCAACTCCAGGGCGAGTCGGGGCCCCCGTCCCGGGCTTGTGTGCCCCTCACTCCCAGCTCCCTTCTTAGGGCCCCCGCGTGTCTCCTGGGATCTGTTTGTGGCCTGGGGCTGGTTCTAGTGGGCGTGCACTCAAGTGCACATGTTACCTCCGTGTATCTGGCTGCCAGTCCCACCCATATTTTGTGAACCTTCTGCCCCACCACACCCTGCCACTGACGCCAATGTTGACAAGCGAATGCCCTTTTCTGTTTCATCAGCGCCACGCACAGCCCAGCTCAGGGGCAGCTGCAGCCGGGCGCAAGGCAACTGGCAACTGTCTGAGCTGAACCCTCACAGACTGCAGGCCTGGGGCTCACAGGTCACCAGACGAGGAGCCCTGACCAGCCCAGGTCCTCTGTTCCACCAGCCCTGCCTGGCATCTTTCACATGGCTTCTTCTTCCCATCTCCCTTGCACCCATGGAACGAGCGTGTGGAGCGGTGGGTGCCTCGGGTGGGAGCACAGACGTGCCCGGTGTGGTCCCTGCAGAGCACAGCTGAGCCCCAAGCTCACGCACACACGCGGCGGACACGCTTGTACCACCCTGCACAGCACGCTCACTCTGGCCCAGCCCCAGGCACTTCCGGACTCCTCCAGTGTTTTTAGGTCCTGCCACCCCCAGGGGAAAAAGGAAAGTTATTGATGATTTTCCAGTGGGCGGGAGGCTTTTTAAAATGTAGTAACAGGCTGCTGGCTTCAGGAGGTGGCAGAGCCCTTGAGAGCATCTAACGGACTCCCTCTCCTCCGTTCAGTCACCGGGGCCTCCTTGGACTTCCTCCCTCCCAATGCCAAAACGCAGCCTGGAGCTTGGGGATGAAGGTGTTAGGAGGGTGTCCTCCTCAGACCTAGAACCACCATCACCTTCAAACACACAGCCCCAGCACCAGCTCAGTTTGGACAGTGCCCCCTCCTCAAGGGTCTGGAAGCTGGAGCATCCCCCAACCCAGGCGGAAGCCCCCGTCCCCCTCACCGGCCACTGGGCCTGCGCTGAGTCCCCTCCTTTCTCTCCACAACAGCTCAGTGGGAAAACCCAGCACTGCTGGGCAGGGGGTGGGGCATGGGGTCCAAGGCCCCTGCTGAGACCCTGCCCTGGCCCCGGGCTGCCCCCAACACCAATGACCACAGCGTGCGGCCAAGGCCGTAGGTGCAGTGCCTGTCTGCCCAGGCCTCCGCGTGTCAGCTGGAGCTCGGGGCTCACTTCAGCAGCCACAGCCTGTCCGGAGTGTGCTGTGCTGGAAAGTCTCAGCTCTGCCTTTCTGTAGCCCAAGCACCAGGGCTTAGGGGCTCTGACAGCCTCTCCTCTCCCACCTCCATTCTTCTTTTTTTCTTTTTGAGACGGAGTCTCGCTCTGTCGCCCAGGCTGGAGTGCAGTGGTGCGATCTCGGCTCACTGCAAGCTCCGCCCCCCGGGTTCCCGCCATTCTCCTGCCTCAGTCTCCTGAGTAGCTGGGACTACAGGCATCACCACCTTGCCCGGCTAGTTTTTTGTATTTTTAGTAGAGACGGGGTTTCACCGTGTTAGCCAGGACGGTCTCGATCTCCTGACCTCATGATCCGCCCGCCTCTGCCTCCCGAAGTGCTGAGATTACAGGCGTGAGCCACCGCGCCCGGCCTCCCACCTCCTTTCTTTTGAGAAGAAGACACAATGCTTTTCTCTCTGCTTCTTGTCTGTGGAATGGGAAGAGAGGGAAGCAAGGACCAGAACACTGCCCTTTGGAAGGAGGCCAGGGCCGGCTGGCTGGGAATGGAGCCCAGGCTGTATGCCAGCCTCAGCCCCGTGATGCACAGAGTCGGGCGTGGGGACACACTGGCACCCCAGCCACACCCCAAGGCACCTGGAGGGCAGGTCTGGGGTGGCTGATGGGGGTGCTGAGGACCAGGACAGCTTCCCTGGCACCCGCCCTGCCCAAGGACAGAACATACCTCCTCCACACTACAGACCTCGGCCAGCCCACCCCAGTTCCACAGCACACAGATCTGAAAACTCAGCCTCTGACAGCACCTCCTCTTGGGAGGTGCTTGGCCTGCAGGGCCCCTGTGCAGGGTCCCCAAGGCACATACATACTCATATTCTGCCCTGGAGTTTCCGTGACCATGAGGTACACATACCCGTGGACCTGGCATGTGGCTTGGGGGAGACAGCCTCTGAGTGAGAAACGTGGGGGTTGGAAAGAAGGGGCCCCTGGAGCTGCTTCCTAGGGGAATGGTGTGGGACAGGCCTGGGAGGGACTGGCAGAGGCAGGCCTGGATCTGAGCCATCCCTCATGCAGGGCAGGAACCTGGGAGCCCCAGGTGGGGGGGGCATCTCCTGGCTGTGGCCCTGGGTTGGGAAGAGATGCACGCCCACTGAAGCAGTGTCAGAAGAGACTGATGCTGGGCTCAGGCTGCCTGCTCCCCGCTCCTGTGGGAAGCCTCAAGGGGGCCGCTCCCATCCAGAGACCCAAGGCTAGCCAGTGGGCTGCCCAGAGGAGCCCTCTCCAGCACCAGCTGCTTGAAAGGAGGGAACTGGGCCTCTTGCCCTGGGTAGGTCTGTGACAGCAGGCAGGGGGCTGCCAGCTGTCTGCACACTTGCCTGGGAACTCTGTGAGCTGCCTGCCTGTGCATGCAGATCTGTGTCGGACTGTGTGTCAGGTGGGCACGTGGGTGAAGTGCAGCTGTGTCCCCTTCCCCTGCCCAAATGCTGTATGTCTGAGGGACCAGCTGTCTTCACAGGTTGTCTGCAGCCTCCCAGCGCCCAGGCTACCAAGCACTCGCGGCTACCAAGCACTCGAAGCTCACAGGCCCCTGGGGTATCCCCTCCCCCATCCTCTCAGGCCCGAAGCAGGCAAGTAGAGGCGGCCACTCAGGCCCACTTTGCACCTGTGCCTCTTCTACCCCTTCCTGGAAGAAGGGGCTCCCGCGTGCACCAGGAATTGCAGCCCCTACCCCCAGCAGCCATGGCCCTAGTTGGCTCCAAATTGGTCCTTCCCAACAGGCAATCTTCGTTTTCACATCAATCCTCCAACCCTTGCTGCCCAACTAGGGGGCTGGAGGCTGGAGGCTGGAGGCTGGGTGGGGGGTGCAGGTGCCTCCCTGAGCAGAAGGGAGCTCCCAGCATCCCAGTCTCTCCTGCCTGCTCCCTCAGTGAGGGTGTCCATAGCTGTCTACCCTGGGTTGGGGCCTTGAACTAGCCTCCGGCTCCAGTTCTCTGGACACCAAAGGTCCACACTGGAAAGACAGTCCCTGGCTAGCCTCTGTGTCCCTAAGACACACTTTGACATCCCGGCCCTTGCACCCTGGCCTTCAGCACCCCAGAGACAAGTCACTCACACCCAAGCCTGTAGCTCCCCAAAATGCTGTCATACCCAGAATCACATCTCACCAGCTGGGCCAGAGAACACAGTGACCCCCAAAATGTGACAGGGCGCAGTGCCAGGCCCACGTTGAATTACTCCTCCCAGAGAGAAGACCCTGACCCAGGACTCGAGGAGAAGCAGCTCCAAGGCACCCAAGGGGAGGCTCTAGGACAGGCACGAACCCCCTGTCTCCACACTGGGAGGGGGCTCGGGTGCCCAACGACTCCTTCCCCTGTCCAGGTACAAGGGCTGGGAGAACACGAAGTAAAGCCCCTTCCCTCCGCCCTGCGAAGGCTCCCTCCAGCACACCCACAGGGGTGAAGTGAGGACTCTCGATCCTGAAAACCGCAGGGACAAGCTCCGCAGGGGGAGTAACTCCCAGCCCCAACCGAGCCCCGCATCTCACCACCGGGGAGGATATTCGGCAGCCCGGGCAGTCGCAGATCGGAGGATGCACCTGCAGGATCCCCTTGGACATAAGCGTCTTCAGACTCTTCCCTGCGAGCAGAGGCGAGGCAGACCCTGTGAGGGCGCGGCACGCTTCTGGGCGCAGTCGGCGGCAGGGCCAGTCCCCTCTTCCCGTCTTCTGGGCGAAATACCCCCGACCCCCCACACCCACCTCGGCCTGACTTCCCAGCCCGCTTCCCGCCCCACCCTCGCGAACGCGGCAGGGATCTGCTGGGCTCTGCAACTCCAGCCCGGGAGCAGCGCCCTCCCCCGACGAAGGGCCTGGGCGTCCCCACCCGGCGCCCCTCCTCCCGCGCTCCACCCTTTCCCCGGTCCCGAGGGAGCCGCAGGCCGGGCCCAGAAAGGCTGCGTCCCGGAGCGGTGAGCGGCGCCGTCGGGACCCTCGGCCTGCGCGGTAGGAGGCGGCGGCCACCGCGGAGCCACGCACCACTCAGGTCCCGAACTTTTTAACTCCTCGCGGCGCCTGGCGCTCACCTCGCCCCGTGTCCCGGCTCAGGCGCCCCCGCGTCGCACCCTTGGGGCCAGGCGCCCGCAGGCGCCAAAACAGGCCGCGCGTCCTGGCACCGCCGCTCGGGCTCCGCGCGCGCCCCCGCCCCGCCCCGCAGCCTCCCGCGCCGCGCGCTCGCACCCCGCCGCACGTGCGCCCCTCCACGCCCCCCAGCCCGGGGCTCCGCGCCCTCCCAACCCGCCTCCTGCCGGCTCTCTCGAGTTCCCGTAAACTTGTTTTGGGCCTTCAGGCCCAGGAGCCTTGCGGCCCGCGAGCCCCAAGCGCTGTGGCCCAAGCTGGAGGGAGGTGCAGCGGGGGGGCGCTCTGCCCGGGTCCACCGAGGCCTCCGCGCGCGGCGGGTGTGTCCCCGCACAGCCCTGGAGCTGCAGCGCCCCCTCGGCCGAGCCGGAGGCCCCCGGGTGTCAGAGTCGGGTAGGGGGTGGGGTCGGGGCCCGCAGGTCCCCGGGGAGCGAAGGGAGGGACGGCGGCGGCCTGCGCCCCCACGGGTGTCAGAGTCGGGTTGGGGTGGGGTCGGGGCCCGCGGGTCCAGGCAGCGAAGGGAGGGGCGGCGGCACCTTTGTGGCGGATGCTGCGCTTCCAGTCCTTGGCCGTCTCGCGGCCGCTGACGAACTGGAACTCGTTGGGCGTGAGCCACTCGCCGCGGTGGCGGATGGACGGGCCCTTGCTGCCCTGGCAGAGTTTGCGCACGTAGAGCAGCGCGCGGTTGGCGCCGCACTCCACCTCGATGCACGGCTCGCCGTTGTCCAGCAGCGGCTGGAAATCCGGGGCCGCGGCCGCGGTGGCCGAGAAGCGCTCGAGGGCCAGCGGGTCCCTGGGCAGGTGCAAGTGCGGGGCGGCGTCGTGCAGGCTGAGGTAGGCGCGCGGGGGGCGGAGCGGCGGGGCCAGCAGAGCCTCGTAGCCGGCGGCCGAGGCGGGCAAAGAGGCGGCCGGGGGGAGGGCCGCCGCCGCGGGCAGTGGCGCCAGGTAGCCCGGCAGCGGCGGCAGCGGCAGCGCGGCCAGGGTCGGGTGGAACGTGGCCAGAGCCAGGGCCAGGTCCTCGCGGCCCGGGAACTCCTTCTTGACCGCCGGCATGGCGTCCCGGTGGCTTCGCAGTCCCGCTCTCCGCCGGCGGCAGCAACTTACTCCGGCCCGGGCGGAGTTGGGTCGCGGGGGCCGGGGAGGCGCCTGGCCGCGCGCCCACCCCGTCCGCTACTGCGCCCCGGCGCCTGCAGCCGCCGCCTCCGCGCCGCCCGCCAGGCCTCCCCGGACTGCTGCCCAGACGGCCGGCGGGGCCTCGGCGGCCCGAGACATGGAGCTGCCGGAGCCGCTACCGATCCCGGATCAACTCGCCGAGCGCCGCAGCTCCCGGGCCTTGGGGCTCCGCGGGGCGTCCGGAGTCCCGCGCCCCGGCCACCTGCGCCCGCGCCCGGGGAAGACCCGCGCCCGGCTCGCCGACCCACCCTCCAGGCCGAGCCCGGCAGCGAGGAGCCGCGGAGTCCCCGCCCCGCCCGGGGGTCCCAAGCCCCCGCCCCGCCGCCCGGGCCGCGTCAGCCGTGCACCCGCGTCCACTGGCGCGCGCCCGCCCGGCGGGGACTTGGGAGACTCCGCCGCCGCCGCCGCCGCCACAACTTGGCCCATTTAAACGGCCCCGGCGCGGCGGGCGGCGCGGGCTCCCGCGGGGGGTGCGTGACGGCCGACTCGGGGCATCCGGCGGCGGCAGCGGGACAGGGCTGCGGCCCCCGGCGCTATCCCGAGTACCGAGTCACTGGGAGCGGCTGGAATCCCGGACTCCGCGCGGGACTGGGATGGGCTGGGCCGGTCGCGGACCGGGCTCCTCTCGGAGGGAGGGAGCCGGGGGCTGCTCGCCGCGGTGTGAGCCTGCGCCCGCGGCTCTGGGGCTTTGCACAGCGAATCTGATGGTGGGCGTTGGTGTCCTGGAGGGCGTGGTGGTCTCTGCACCTGCAGGGAACGAGGCTGTGGATTCGTAGTGTGCGGCCTGGGCAAAGTGTTCTGTGAGTGACAGGGCAGCACCTCCCCGCGCGTTCCTGCCCCTTCCTATGCACTTGACAGGAGTGAGTTCGCCTGAGCCACCGAGTTCCTTTTTAGTCTTTTGCAGGTGAGGACGCTGAGACAGAAAGGTCCAGTAACGCTCCTGAAGTCACACAGCTGTTTCAAATGCGCAGTGTCTCACGCCAGGACGGCGCCAGGGCCATGGGGTGGGGCAAGAGCTTCCCGTCACCCCACAGCCCCCAGCAGGAAGGCGTTAGTCAGGGCGGGGGTGGGGGACAGGGGCTGGCAGGGTGCACGCCCTCCCACACCACCACCTCCTCCCACATCAGCCCCCCTGAGCGTAAACCTGACCCCGGGTGACCACGCTGGGCTCCCTCACCTTATCTCACCAGAGGCTTCTGCTGGCCCCCCAGCCCACCCGCCGAGCGAGATCTGGGCCAGTGGTGCTCTGCTCAGGCAAGGAGCATGCCCAGAAGCCTCCCCTCCCATCCTGGCCCCTTTCTGTGGGGGCTCCTTGGTCTTTTGGGGTCTGAGGGGCCAGGTGGGAGTGTGGGTGTGGCTGTGAGTGACCCTTCCTTACATGGCCACCCTTGGTGCTGTCAACCTCTCTGCATCCCTGACCCCAGACGTGGCTGCCAGCGAGTTCCTGTGTCTTCCTCCCCTGAAGTCTGTGTCTTCTCTCAGGTCCGCTGCCATGTGGAAAGTCCACTCCTGGGGCCAGCTGGAGGCCATGTGGACTGACCGTGAGTGCCCACTGTCCGCAGCCCTGACCCTACTGCCCCTGTGCGGGCTACTAGATTCACCTGCACCTCACCCTCCTTCTAGCTTCGCCTGCACCTGACTCCCTGATGCTCACACAGCGATTTGGGGAGGGAGGCTGGGGGGGCGCAGGTCCGCATGGCAGTGCCTCTCTGGGTCTGAGGCCCTTGGGCCAGGCTCTCCTCTGACCTGGGACAGCAGAGGGGCCTGCTTTCCCTTCCAAGAGCCCTCCCCTGTTCACCAGTGTCTCACCATGCTCAGGCCCGCAGTGCGGTTAAGGAGGGGCCTGGGGCTGGCCCTGGGTTTCTGGCTGGGTGTGGGAGCCCACCCGGGCCCTGCAGCCTAACCTCCAGCCCACAGTCTGGCTCCACCTGTCTCTGGAGGACCAGGGTGTCTCCCCGAAAAGACCCTGACTGGGTCCAAAGCTGGAGGCGCCCCCCATCCTCACTGTCCACTCCCTGATGTTCTGGAGGCCCCTCCAGGGGCTGGGTGAGGAGGCCTCCCCACCACCTCCTTGTCTTCCTGGGAAACAGGTACCTGTTCGGAGGCCACTTTCCCACATGACCAGGCCTCTTCACCCCCAGCATCATCCTTCTCCGTGGGGCTGTGCCCCTTCCTTGGTCCTGTCCACTCACACACTCATATCCTGTGTCCACTCACACACACCTGTGTCCCATGCCCACACCCGTGTCCGTGTCCATGCTCACACCTGTTCTGTGTCCACTCCCACCCGTGTCCACTAGCACACTGTGTCCACTCCCACACCTGTATCTCGTGTCCACTCTCACATCTGTGTTGTGTCCACTCGCTCACACATGTACTGTCCGCGCCCACTCACACATGTGCTGTATCCACTTGCTCACAGCTGTGTCTCGTGTCCACTGGTTCACACCTGTCCCGAGTTCACTCATGCACCTGTGTCCCGTGTCTGCTCATGCACTCGTGTGATGCGTCCACTCACTCACCTATGTCCGCTGGCTCACACCTGTCCCTTCTTCACTTGCGCACCTGTGTTGCGTGTCCTGTGTCTGCTTGCACATCTGTGTGATGTGTCCTCTTGCTCACACCTGTCCTGTGTCCTCCACTCGCACACCTGTGTCCCGTGTCCACTCACACACCTGTCTTGGTCTGGGACACCTGGGTCCCACTCTCCCCTGCACTCCTCAGGCCGGCGGCAGAGGCCAGAAGAACGGAGTTTTGTTGCTAGAATCATCCCGAGCAAGGCAGGGACGTGGCGGTGTGGACTCCACTGCCCCTCCTCCTGCCCACCGAGCCCCGCCTGCCTGGGCCTTGGTGCCTCTGTCGCTGCTCCGGGTCCCCCTGCTGGGGCCCCTCCGCCGCTGGGCTGAGGCTGGAGCCGCTGCCTCCCGCCAGAGGGAGGAGGTCATAAATAACCCTGGGGCTGCGGAGCAGACGGTGACCCCAGACGTCCTGGGGGAGTGTGGGGGCGCCAGGGGCCGCTGCCCCAGCCCGCACGCCGCCTCCTCCATCCGGGAGTGCCTGCCCAGGCTCCCCAGCATTTCTGTTAGATTGCCTCTCATCCATCCCCTCATCAATCAGTCAACCATTGATTGAGCCCAGATGTGGTACAGCCCCAGCCAGAGAGGACCCAGAGGTGGGGTGGGGAGGAGAGAGATGGGGAAGCCGAGTCCAGGGCCACAGGTGCAGCCAGGAGGTGCAGGTGAGCAGCGCTCAGGCCAGCCCGTCAGCCTCAGTCCTGAGTTTACTTCTGGTGATGGAGGGAGATACGCAGAAAAGATCCTGCATCCCGCAGGTGTGGCACAGCTGACCTCGGGCCAAGGATGCACAGCTGTGTGTCTGCCTGGCCTCCAGCAAGGGCACGCGTGCTCAGAAGCACAGGTGTGCCCACACCCTGCATGCCTGTGTGTGGCGCAGCAGCTCCAGACTCACGCGCACGACACACGCGGCACAGACAGACCCTCCCATGGCCACAGGGACAATGGTGCAGACAGGATGTGCACTGCCCTCCAAGGCCGGTGCGCAACACAGACCCAGGGCCTGCGGGCACCTGCACCGCACAGACCCAGGCACACATGATCCCCAGCCAAGGCGGCCTGCCCAGTGCCAGGGCTCAGTCCTGGTGCTGTTGGACGGAAAGGCTAACCCAGGAGGTCAGGGGTTGTGGTAAATCAGCTGCGCTCCCTCAGATGCTCCTGCAGAAGCAGCCAGGACCTCAGGAACGCACCTGCTCCTGGTCAGACAGGAGGAGCTGCTGCGCTGGAACCTGCCCGCGCCTTTGGGTGCCGTGAGCTGGCTGCGCGCCACGTCGTTTTGAGGACATAAGAAGGTGTTTCCAAGTCCAGTCTGTCCACCGACCTGTCCAGTCTGTCCACCGACCTGAACCTTTACCACTGAAAGAACAAAGGGGTGGGACCCGAGGGACCCTTCCCTGCCCTCCCATGGTGTGTGGTCAGGGATACTCCTGCAAACACACACAGGTGGGCTCTGACTGCCAGATCGCAGGGGTGGTGCCGTGGTCCTCACCTGCCATGTCACCAGAGTGCTGACACACACACCGGAGACAGTGCTAGGCCCAGCACATCCCAGCCAATTCCTCTATAAATGATGCAGAAGCCCCAGCACCTTGAGGCTAGGCAAAGGGAAGCAATAGAATTCTCCAGAGCCTCAAGGAAGCGGGACGGTCTGTCCCAGTGAATGCACTCGGCCAATTCTTCCCTGTCCTCCCCCTGCCAATGCTGCCGGCCTGCAGCCTGGACCTGGCCTGGGTTGTGGAGGGGATCAGAGGATGCAGCGGCCGCCTGCTGGGTGCACGTGGGCCTAGGTGGTCCTCAGCCCTCAGCCCTTATGGCAGGAGCCCCCGAAGCACTGCTGTGGCACCCTCTCTGACATTGGGCCAGGGAGACACTGGGAGCCGGGTGCAGAGCCAGGGCCCAGCACGCAGGCCTTGGGCTCCAGCCCGTCCCCCACATCTGGAATGTGCCAGCAGGGCCCAGTGTGAGAGAAGAGCGGATCCCTACGTGAGTAAGGGTGGAGGGATGGTGCCTCTGCCGTGGCCGTGGTGCCGCCGTCCACATCAGCTTTCTCTCAGCACAGATCCTGTGTGAAGGCCTCAGGGGCCACGATCCTCGTTCTGAGGGCCCTAGCAGGTCGGGCTCCTGCTGTGCTGGCTCCACATTGACTAGCTGGTGGGCTTGGCGGGTCTGTGGTCACAGAGAGACCAGAACCCGCATAACAGGCCCCATGAGGATGCCAGGCTGCACTGACCCCTGAGCTTCAGGGGAGAGGGGCACCAGCTGGGAGCCCTGCACAGACAGCCTCAGGTGCAAGAAGCCGGAGCCCAGGGCAGCTGGGGAGGGGTGGGGTGTGGTGGCTGGAAGTTGCTGTTCTCAGACCCAGCTCTGAGACCCTCTCCAACTGCATGGGGGGTCCAGGCTGGACCCCAGATGTGACTGTGTATGTGCTGGGATGGGAGCCCCCTGAGAGCAGGGCTTTTGTTAATTCACCAACAATCTCACACGCCTGGCATGAGACAGGTGCTCAGGCTGTGAAGACCACATACACGGGGTCCTCCACTGTGTCCGGGGGAGGGTGGGTCCTGCTCGCAGCCAGACTGGGTATAGCCCTGGGTGGGCTCTGGGGCTCGCCCAGGGCAGCTCAGCCTCCTAGCCCTGGGCAGCCCTGCTGCCTGCCTGCTCCCTCCACTCCTACCACCTGCCCAGGTGGGACTCTGCCTGCCTTCTTGTCCCCGGTGCTTTGTAGGAGTTGGACCACAGGTATCCTCTTCATCAGAGGGAGAAGAGCTCACGACCTGGGAGAACTCCAGGCCTGGCCCAGTGAAGAACGTCCTTATCTTCAGCAGACGTTGCCCAGTGCAAAGGGAGGCCAGCCTCAGAGGCACGGACGGTGGCGTAGCATCCGTCCGAAGGCCCTGCCTGCAGCACGGGATGCCACAGAGGTCCCCTGGGACAGAGCCTCATGGGGCAGGCAGGGGTGGCAGCTGCTCCTGCGTGAAGAGGCAGATGCAAACCCACGGTGTGGCCTCTGGGGTCCCACATCCCAGGTAGAGAGTGACCCAGGTCGCTGGCATCTGTGCCATCTCTGCTCCACTGACCACTCATGGGGGTCCTGGAGATCCTGACACCAATGGCTGGGGAGCAGCAGCCCAGGCACAGGCCCCAGTGCACACTCAGATCCCACGGTGTGTGCACACGGCCTTGCCCCGAGGCCTGGGTGCTGTATGAGGGCCAGGACGCTAACAGAGCGGAGGATACCCACACGTGAGCTGCGCTGGGTTTCCTTGTACCCAAATGGGATATGCAGGGTTCCACTGTGCAGTTGCTGTGTATTTTAGGATCTCATCCCCATGTGCCCCAGCAGGACCACAGCTGTGACCGGCTGCTGCAGAAGGGCTGGGTGGGTTGAGAGCCCACTGGCAGGGTCACTGGGGGCGGCAGGCGCTCTGTCCACACTGATTTCTGTGTCACATCAGGGATTTTCAGGGCGGCAAGCTCAGGTGTTTTACTGTTTCCCATGTCAAGTCCAGCTCCAGACTGACTTTCTGAGGTCACAGATGGAGCCTCACCCCATCCAAGGTGATGTCCTGGACTCCCAGTGTGTTCCCCAGAGGGCAGGGTGAGTGCGTGGCACCCTTTTGGCGGGCGTGGGTGCCTCTGTGGACCTGGCGTGAGGCTTCTCTGTTTCTGAGTCTCCTATGGACCATCTGTCTTCTGTGTGGCTGCTGAGGGATCACACTGGGGTGACCCTGCAGGTGGCTGAATGAGAACAGGACCCCCATGCTGCACAGCCCTGCATGACCCCGGGGGTGGCCCCAGAAGCGGCTGGGCGAGGCTGGGCGGCAGGGATTGGCTGAGATCTTATGAAGAGCCCAAGGGCAGCGGCCAGGCTTGAGCCCAAGGTGCAGGGGAAGGCGGCAATGCCCGGGTCCCTTTCTTCGCCAGGTACCTGGGGCCCAGCCTGGGCGGCAGGAGGGACTCAGCCCCTCGCCCAGGCAGGAAGGCTCCCCAGCAGAGGCCCCTCCCTCGTGCACTCCCCAGCCCCCACCTGCGGCACTGGGACTGGGACTAATAAAACACCCACCTCGCAGAAGACAGCTTTATCTTGTTGATTGGAAGTCTGCCAGCCCAATTTATGATGGAACATAAGATCTCCAAATCTGAATTTATGCGCTGTAGCGTAACGAGAGGTCAATGAGATTAAACGGGGGCTCAGGAGAGGACCAGCGCCAGGCTCACTTGAGGCGCTGCACAGAAAACCCACAGCCAGAGCCCCTGGGCCCGGCCCAGGCAAGACCAGAAAAGGAGGGGGCAGGTGGGAGACCAGCCTGGGGCTCCAGGGAAGGCCACGGGATGGAGGCAGGAGAGCCAGCTGGCCTGGGGCAACCCTGGGATGGCTCCTGGATGGAGGAGAGCAGAGGGGTGATGAGGGTTCCCTCAGGGCTGGGGAGCCTTCTCCTGGTCTCAGACCCACCTCCCTTCAGCTGCCAAACCCTGGGCGCCCCTGATTCTGAGGACAGTTGGGAGCCTGCCCTGAGGCAGGTTCAAGGACAGAGCTCTGACCCTGGCCCAGGGCTGCTTTGGTGCCCATGAACTCGGCTTCCGGCTCAGAGCAGTTCACTGCACCCCTTCCTGAGCCCTCTGTCCTCTGGAACCCGTGGGCAGGGCGAGGGACCAGTGCTCTGTCTGGGTGGGGGCCTGGGCGCCCAGCCAGCACGAGGCTGAGCTTAGGGCAGACCCTGACTTCAGAATTTATACAAATAAACGCAATGAAAAGTGCTGGCAGCCTGATCTGATTACAGAGTCATTCATTCTCTGGTCGTTAATAATTTGTGCAATAAAGGACTGTGGCCGCTCAGTGCGGGGGAGGCTGTGGCCCAGCCTTCCCTCGGCGCCGGCCCCGGGAGCTGGAAGCATAAATTATTAGTTTCTTATCGCTGGGCCTGCCATCACTCATGCTGCCAGGGCCTGGTGGGAGCTGGTGGCTGTTCTGCTGCCCGCCAGGGCAGGCTCTCAGCCGTCGCCTGGGGCCCTTTGTCACCCCCACCCTGGCCCCCAGGTGTGGGAGCCCCCGAGCCTGGTCAGGCCTGGAGGCTGCTGCGGAAGCAGCAACTTGCTGGAAGCCGGAAAAAGGTGGGGCTTTAGTGCTTGTCCTCAGACCCTCCGGGTAACCAAAGCCAAATCACTCCCGGTTGGAAAGCAACCTCACACACCTGGCCACCGCACGGACACTCACAGCAGCAGCCCACAGGGCCCCTTGCCCAGACCCTGACGAGGGGAAGAGTCGGTTGTGTCTGGGTTTGTCAGTCCTCCCGGTGTGGCAGGGCCCCTCTGGGTGGGACTTGGCACCTGTACCTGGGAGCACCTGCCCAGATGAGGGAGTGGGGGCAGGACCAGCGCTCGCGCTGTCTCCCTGTGTCCAGCCCTGGGGCCCTGGTCTGGCGGGCAGGTGTAGGGCACCTCCCGCCCTCTCCCGCCCTCTCCCTGCCCTCACACGCCTGCTGTGGGGGTTCCCTGTCCCACCCCAAAAGGGAGAAGCCAAGGCTGAGGCAAGGTTGGAAAATTGGGGTGGGGACTCTGGAATCCAGACATCCCGACAGAGGATGCAGGACGAGTCCGGGCGTGAGTGCAGGGTAAACTCATGGGCCCGAACTCTCTGATGTGCCTCCTGGGCTCAACTTCCCCTTTCTGGAGGGCTGGGGTCCCAGAACCTTGCCTTGAATTCGTGAGGATGGTGGGACCTGGAGGGTAGGTGACGCAGAGGGCGTGAGGCCTCACCCCAGGACGCTGTGCCCATTTCTGGCTGTGCAGCCTTGGGAAGCCTTCTGACTTCTCTGAACCTCAACCTGTAAAATGGCAATGAGAATGAAACAAGATGAAATGAACATGCACTGAGCATGTGAGGTGGGGCAGAGACAGCCGCCCCGCCGCTGGTGATGGTCCTCACGGCATCTGGTCCTGGAGCCCACAAAGCCCCTTGCAGAGACTGCTCTACCCACGTGCAAGTGTTTCGCCCTCTTCCCACGGGTGACCCCAGCTTGGCTGCATGTGTTTTTGCTCAGAACGTCCCCACCTGTGTCCCAACTGCCCTCCGGCTTCGGGAGCACTGGGCGCAGTGGGGCAGGTGCCTCGGTGGCAGGTGCCTCAGTGGCCTGCGGACTTGCTGGTCGTCTGTCACTTCCGAGTCGGCTCCATTGTTTGGTCCTCCTTCTATTCTCGGCTGCATTTTCCTGCTTCCTTGCACACCTGGTGATTTCCGAATGGGTGATTTTTGAACAGGGATTGTGAATTTTGTTGGGTGCTGACTATTTTTGGAAATACTCACTTTGCTCAGGACTCCAGGAAGTTACTTGGAAGCTGTTTGGTCCTTTGGGGTCTTGCTTTTAAGCCCTGCTAGGAGGACCAAGGCAGCATTTAGTCTGGGGCTGACTGTGCCCTCCTTTACCAGGGCACGGCCCTGCTTGCTGCTCTGCCCAGGGGCTGAGGTGCCCCCGCCGCTGGTGGACCTTCCACGGTCCTGGTGGGCTCCAGCCATGGTTCCCTCTGGTGATCTCGGGTGGTTCTTTCTTCGCCTTTTGTCGTTTCTTTTTTTCTTGTTCTTTCTTCTTCTTTTTTTTTTTTTTTTTTTTTTTTTTTAGGCAGAGTTTTGCTCTTGTTGCCCAGGCTGTGGTGCAATGGCGCGATCTTGGCTCACCATAACCTCTGCCTCCCGGGTTCAAGTGATTCTCCTGCCTCAGCCTCCCGAGTAGCTGGAATTACAGGCATGCACCACCACGCCGGGCTAATTTTGTATTTTTTTTAGTAGAGATGGGGTTTCTCCATGTTGGTCAGGCTGGTCTTGAACTCCCGACCTCAGGTGATTCTCCTGCCTCGGCCTCCCACAGTGCTGGGATTACAGGCGTGAGCCACTGCACCCGGCCCTCTAGTTTCCTTTCATGTGAAAATGCTCACTGGGGCTCACTCTCACCTGCTCTCACCTCACACCTCAGCCTCCCCAGACTCCCAGCTTGGTCTCCTCCCCTGAAGGAGAAGCCTGAACACACCTGGGTCGCCATGCCTGCACCACAGCCCGGACACTCGGGGCAGTGAGCGGGGCGGTGAGCAGGGCATTCGCAGGGCTCTGCCTCCATTGTTCCCCAGCCTTGCTCACCTGGTGACCCTGGTGGGGGGGTCTGGCTGCTCCCTCCTGCCTGGACGTCTGTCCCCACTGGTGACCCTGGTGGGGGGGTCTGGCTGCTCCCTCCTGCCTGGACGTCTGTCCCCACTGGTGACCCTGGTTGGGGGGTCTGGCTGCTCCCTCCTGCCTGGACGTCTGTCCCCACTGGTGTGCTCACAACAGTGCCCTGCGGGGCTCTCACAGGTGTTTTCTAAGGGGCCTGGGTGGGGCCCGGGCAACTTGCTGGACAACAGACCCTCAACCCATCCCCTGCCAACCTAGCTCAGCCCTGAGCTCCTGGCAAGGGATGAGACAGCCTGAACTTCAGCCGGGGGGGAGTGCGGGGGCTGCCATCAGGGGCCTGCTGCTCCCTGTGCACTGAAGGTGGGTCACCTGTTTCTTCCTCCAGGACCTCAGGCATCCCCTGTTACCCAGGGTGGTGGCCCCACTGCAGGGGCCAGGACAGGGGTGGAGGGTGGACGGCACTCCCACTGTGAATGCCCTGGATGGGTCCTTTCCTCTCCGAAGGCTTTGTCACCACGGCCCAGGTGACAGGAGGCTGTCATTGTGAAGGAAATTTAACCTTGGAAAACCCGCAGGAGAGCAGTGAAGCCTCAGGATGCTGGATTTGTTACCCGGAAGTGCACTCTGGGCTGGGGGCAGCAGCCGCGGTCATAACACGTGTGCCACACCAGGAGACCCGTCTGGCAATGTGTGGCAGGCTGGCAGCACCTGGCTTTGGCTTGCTTGGAGTGGACGTTGGAGCAAGTGGCCCGGTCTCAGCCTGACACTGCCCGGCACTGCCACTGTCAGGGTGGGGGGTGGTCTAAGGGCGGGCTCGGGGTGGGGGTGTCTCCGGGGCGGGCTCAGGGTGGGGGGTGGTCTAAGGGCGGGCTCGGGGTTGGGGTGTCTCCAGGGCGGGCTCGGGGTGGGGGGTGGTCTCCAGCGCCTTCTGGTTGAAGGAGCATATGGTACATGGTCTCAAGCAGGCCCCAGGATCCCTGACCCACAGGCAGGCCCAGGCCTTGGCTCACAGCCCGCAGATGAGCAGGCAGAGGAGATCAGGACGGGGTGGACCAGAGCAGGCAGGGGGCCCTGGACAGAAGGAGATAGAAGGGGGCGTGAGGGGCCGTCTCCTTGGGTTTGGGTCTTAAACAGGGGGTGGTTTTCTGTTTGAGGGGCAGCCTGCACCCAGAGGCTCCAATGGGCGTGTTTTGAGGGGGCAGGTGAATCTCTTTACCAGAGGCTCCCCGGGGACAGGGCCCGTTCCAAAGGCCACCTCTCTCAGTGCAGCCAGCAGCAGGGCAGAGCTCTGGGGACCCCAAGCTGGAGGCCCACACGGGCGGGAGACACTGCCTCCGGCCACCCCGGGGAGCCAGAGTGTAGAGTCACTCACAGCGTGGTCCCCTCCCTGCCAGGCACATTCCACAGAGGCAGCTGCTTTGGGAAGTTTGGTGCCAGACACCGGCAAGCCTCTGCCTGGGGCATCGCCTCCTGCACCCTTCGCTGTCTGAAAGGGCAGCTCTCCTGAGCCAGGCCTGCGCCATCTCCTTTAGGCTCCTGCAGTTCCTCTGTCGCCTCCACACTGCCCCAAGCAGGGGTGTTGGATCTGTCATTTGCTGACATTAACCATTAAGCTGAGTCTCCACCGTCTGCAGGATGAACACACATTTCATTATTTCTCCGATTCCTTCAACCGTCACTGAGCCTATCTCTGTGCCAGGCGCAGAGCTGCAGACCCAGGAAGACAGTGGTGAGCAGTTCACACAGCCCTTCTTCCTGGTGTGGAGTGGAGAAAAGGAAGCTTGCGCCTGGGGTGTGCAGACCCACCTTCTGCCAAAGCCTCCCGAGCCGCGCTGTTCAAGAAGGGGCGACTGCCCTCACCCCAGAGCAGCCTTTGCGCTTTGGCCTTCCTTCACGTAGACACCAGTCCCCTCTGTCTAATTCTTTTCATCCTTGGTGCCAATTTCAAATGCCACTTCCTCCATGAAGCCTCCCTGGATCCCTCCAGTCAGAATGAGTCCATTGTCCTTGAGCTTTTGAACCCACATCCTGGCATTTCCAGAACTGGGCGTGCTGGCTGACACAGGAACCCTGTCTTCATAACTGGACTGTAGGCCCCACAGGGGTCTCGTCTCTGCTCCAGGGGCCAGCCGGCACTCAGGAGGTCTTGGAAAAAGTGTCCCAATGGCTCAGCACTTTACAGTCAACATCTCAGATGACCCTGCAGCCACTGTGAGGTGGGTGCTGGTTCCACCTCCTGCACAGGTGCCAGCTGGCAGGTGGTGGAGGAGGTTTGAGGCCTGATCCTCTGGACCTCTGTGGTTTAATCAAAGGAGCCCACAGCTGCTCTGGGCCACGGCTCCTCCGGAGCTCATCACTGTGACTATTCATTAACCCCTTAGTTATCAGCTAGGACTTCACAGAGATTCCCGGGCTGAAAGTGAAAGCAAGCAAGGGATCCAGGAGCACCTGGAGGAGGCGCTGGGTGCTGTCCAGCTGCCTGGGCCTGAGCTGAGAGCTGCTGATCTCTGGACATCTTAAGGTCCAGGGCTGCCAAAGGCTGCTTTGTCCTGCGGACGCACGCCCATGGGTGTACTACGTGTTCGGTCACTGACAATGTAAAGCTCCTTATTCTCGGTTTCATCCTCTGGAAAAATGGGGATAAAATACTTGGCTTGTACAATTGATACATTCTAGATGTTGACCAGCAGATAGTGGTTGCCCAATAAATTGCAAACACGATTGTTTTTGATGATTTTTATTACTGAAAATCTACACACTATACAAATCCAGCATTTAATCTAGAGAGTCTGCCCCACATGTGCCCCCAGGAGCTGCCTGCTTCCCTCCCTCTGCACCAGGCTGAGCTCCCAGATACCCCATCTTCCCTGCATCCCTCTGTGGCTCCCCCGCTCTTCTCATTCCTCCTGGCGACACACCTCCACTCTGCCACCTGCCTAGCGCCCACCTGGGCCACCACATCCGGACCCCACGTCCCAGATGGTCTCCCTCAGCCCCCAGGCCCCCTGAGCACAAGCACACAGAATCGTGCACACGCGTGCTTTTACCAAGGGCACACATCAGACACATACAAATCCACTGACTTGCCCTTAGCAGGCTGTGCGTGAGCACAAAGGCACAGCTCACCAGGTTTCTCTGGCCCAAGCCTGGGAACCCTGAGCGGGGAGCCCCACCCCATGCCGCGTGCTGGCTCTAGACTGGTGCCATTTATCACCGGCCTAGGATGAGTAATTTCATCGTGAACACAGTTCAGGGTGATAGATGAGCGAGTGGGGGCAGGTGATCGCCGTGCTGTCTGCCCACCCCAGAGGGAGGCTGGAAGGAGACTCCTGCCTGTTTCTAACAGGATGGTGGCCCAGGAGGGGCACGTGGAGGGAGGAGCCCCTGTCAGGGAGGCTGGCACAGCCAGAGTGGGGCAGGGAGGCAGAGGTCACAGGCCTGGTCTCATCCATGTCCCGGGCCTTGTGAGGACCATGAGGCAGAGCCCACGCAGGGAGACGTGGCCATCCCCCAAATCCTGCTCAGGGCTGAGGTCCCAGGGGCCCTATGCTGTAGGAGGATGGGGACAAGCAGGTGTGCGGCTCCTGTGTCCAGATAGAAGAAAAGGAGAGTTTCCGCTGAACACCGCCACCATCCTTTCCCGGAGTCCTAACCTCACCTTTGGGTCACAGTCAAGCTCTGTGAATTGACATCTTTTCAACAGTGCTGGCCTCACTGCAGGTGCAGCTACACTGCCCACAAGGAGGAAGACTTTATCTGCTGACCAGGCACATGTGCAGTGGCAGGGCTGGGCTTTCTGGAGCCTCTACCACACTGTGGCCTGCCCAGCTGCCCACAGGACTGAGGGCCTGGCAGCCTGGCAGGCATGCCCACCTCTAAAGTCCCCGGCCTCAGTGGGGAGGCTGAGGGCAGGCACAGGGCGCCCAGCGGATGAGCCCATCCCTGGCTGTCTGTTCAGGGCCTGCCAGGTTCCTCGGCCCGGGAGGGAGCCTGAGGGGCCTGGCTGGTTACCAGACACCCCCCTAGCTGCTCAACCAGGACCCCTCCAGACGCCACGGCAAGCTCCCCAGGTGTCGCAAAGAGTCCCAGGCCCCTCAGGGTGAGGTCGACCAGTCCCCCCACCCCCAGCAATTGATCAAAGCAGGGCTCCCACCCCAGCTCCAGGGACCAGGCAGGTCGGGACCACAGAAGCAGCCCCGGGAGACCCCGCTGGGGCTGGGAGGGGCCACCCGGGCTGGCGGCGCCGTCAGGCACCCGCAGTCACTGCGGCTGACAGGAGATGGGGGCCCCCCCTCCGCGGGCGCGGCCCCGGGGCCGCCGTGGGCAGCAGAGGCGCCAGGGCGTCCGGGAAGTCTGGGCCCGCAGCTGCCCCCGGGTCCTGCGCGCGCCGAGCCAATCCCGAGCCAGTCGCGCCCCCGCCAACCCCCCACCCCCATCCCCGCCGTAACCCTTCCCTCTCCGCAGCGGCCCGGTGCTGGCGCGGTGCGGGGGTTCCGGGTCTCTGCCCAGGCAGAGGCGGAGCTGCGGGTCCCAGCGCCAGGACCAGCCCAGCCGCGCCGCCGCCCTGGACGCCGCCCCCGCACACGACCCCCACCCGTGCCAGGCCCACCCTTGGTCCTTCCTCCGGGCCTTGGAGATAGCAGTGATGACACCAAAAACGACCGCCGCATTTACGAGCATCAGTGCACCCGGGGACCTGATTCAGTGCCCTTCATGAATCCCTGTGGCCCAGGAAATGGGCTGAACAGAATCCCACCTGCTGCAGGGCCAAATCCCCTCCCTTCCCCTGGCCCCTCATTCCCTCCCTCCTGTCCTCTCCTCCCCTCCCACCTGCCCCCTCATTCCCTTCCCTTCCCCTCCCCTCCCACTTGTCCCCTCTCCCCTCCCACCTTTCCCTCATTCCCCCCAACTCCTACTCCCCTCTCTCCTCCCCACTCCCCTTCATCCCCTCCCCCTACTCCCCTCTCTCCTGTCTCCTCTCCTCCACCCACTCCTCCCCTCCCCCTTTCCCTCATTCCCTCCCCCGTCCCTCCTCCCCTTCCCCGTCTCCTCTCTCCTCCCTCTGTCCCCTCGCCTGTCCCTTCCTCCTCTCCCTCTTGCCCTCCAGTATCTTTGCCGCCTCCTCCCTTTGCAGACACACTGCACACAGGCCTCTCCCGGGCCCTGCTTTCCTTTGAACCATACCTTGTCTCTCTTCCCATTTTCGGGAAAACTTCCAAAGAATTGGCTGTGGCGGACACCCTATCTTTCTGGCTCTGTGACCTTCCCCTTCCAGCTCCTGCCCCCAACAGCCTGCACCCCTGTTCTGACAGGCCGTCTGCACCTCTCGGTGCCTGCCCTCCTGACCGCTGTCCTGTGGGCCTGGCCTGTTCCATGCCTTCTGTCCATGAACCTGCTGTCCACGTTGTGCTGCCCTCCAGCTTGGCCACACTGGTTCCTGCTGCCTGCAGCTTCCATTCTAATAGGCGTGGGGCGGATTGCAAACAAATCAACTAACGAATACATAAGAAAGGTAGGGTGATTGTCACTGGGTCAGTGCCTGCTGGGTAAGGCCCCATCCTGACAGGTGACCTGTGAGCCTAGATCCTTCAGGTGGAAGGAGCGGCCTGGGAAGTCCCGGGGGAATTGGCGAGCAGGGGGCAGGGAGCGGGTGATGGGCCCTCCTCCCAGGTCGGGGAGGGTCTGCACTCTCTTGCCTGGTCAGAAGGACTGGGCAGGAGGGAGGTGAAGAGGGTGTTTCTTAGCCCTGCGGGATCCCCTTGGAGAGGAAGTTTTCCTGAGAAAGGGAGGGTCCCATGGAGGAAGAGTCAACTCCAGATGCTCCCTAAGCCCAGAGAACATGGATTCCAGGAGGGAAAATCAGGTGCGCCCACAGCCTCACCTCTCCTCCTTGTCCCTTGAGGGTGGGCCAGTGACCCCAGCCCTTCTGGCCAGTGCAAGAGGCCACAGGGCCTGACATTCGCATCATGGAAAGAAGATTTTCTTTTCTTTTCTTTCTTTTTGAGACAGAGTCTCCCTCTGTTGCCCAGGCTGGAGTGCAGTGGTGTGATCTCGGCTCACTGCAATCTCCATCTCTTGGGTTCAAGCGATTCTCTTACCTCAGCCTCTCCAGTAGCTGGGATTATGGGCGTGCACTAGCACGCCATGCTAATTTTTGTATTTTTAGTAGAGAGATGAGGTTTTGCCATGTTGGCCAGGCTGGTCCTGAACTCCTGACCTCAAATGATCCACCCACCTTGGCCTCCCAAAGTGCTGGGATTACAGGTGTGAGCCACCACGTCCAATCAATTTTTTTTTTAAGATAGGGTCTTGCTCTGCCACCCAGGCTGACATGCAGTGGTACGGTCTTGGCTCGCTGCATTCTGGGAAAGGAGAGTGTAACAGGAGTTTAAGGAATGAAGCCTTTCAATGGCCGGAGAGACAGAAAAGTCTTAGGGAGGCAGGGGAAAATGAGAGGCCTCAGAGCCAGGCTCCCAGGACCACGGGGGCTCAGCCTTCTCACTGGTGGAGGTGCACCCAGCCCATGCTCCCTGCACGTCGGGCTGCATCGGGTGTGGGTGAATGAGTGTGCTTCAGGGGAGGTGAAGCAGACTCTGGCACTGGCTGTTCTGTCTGTGGCTAAGGAGAGTGCCCAGGACGTGTGCAGCCTGCAGGGGGGGCAGGACACCAGCTGCAGAGACACCTCCTGTGCTGCCCTCAGGTCGGGCTCCAGCCTCTCTTCCCGGCTTCTGTGCACTTCCGGTGGGGGCCGGCTGAGTTGAAGGGGAGAGGTGGCTGAGTTTCCGGCGTGTCCTAGCCAGCTCCCCTTCATGACCCCAGAGACTACCTTGCTCAGAGAGCTGCCCAGGGAGCTGCTGACTAGGGACCCCCACAGTTTTGCTGAGTGAGAAAGGGCTGAGGGTGAGAAGCAGGCAGGTGTGAAAGCCAGAGGGCATCTCTGGTTGCACACAGGATGTTCTCATCTCCAGCAGGAGAACAGCAGAGCCCAAGGGACTAAACATGGAAGAAGGTGAAATACCCAACCAAGGCCAGAGGCCAGGGTCCTGGTTAGGAAAGCTGGAGGCCCTGGCAGACGCAGTGGAGACACCTGGGCAGATATTCCTGAGTCCCCAGACTCTTCCCGGAGCCTCCGAGCCTGTGAAATCAGCTCCTCCTTGGGCACTGGGCCTGGGAAAAGGCCAGCTCACCGGCACATGCTGGGCTACTGCAGGACACAGCTAGTCCTGGCAAGAGGGCAGGTAGGGTGGGGGGCTTTGACCCAAGAAGATGGCCCTGGGCTGCTCCCGGGGCTGCCCCTGAGGAGACTGAGCATGCTAAAGGCCAAGGTCTACCGCGGAGGCAGGGGTTGAAGCTCCAGGAGGCCCAGAAGGAGTGGGGCCAGCCTGGCAGCAGGCCAAGGGCAAGAGTGCCTGGTGGTGTGGATCTGGGTGGGGGCTTGGTGGGCCGGGTCAAGGGCAGGGCTGGGGGCCAGAGGGGTCCTACCCATGGTTCAGGGAGATGGGAGATGGGCTCAGTGAGGATTTCAGACGTGGGCCTTCATGGTCTCCTGGGGGGTGGAGGAAGCTGGTCGTGGTGGAGCCTGGGTGAGGGCAGAGGTGGAGAGAAAGGCGGAGGTGGAGGAGCCTGGAGGGAGGGGAAGCCATAGGCCACACCCCAGAAGACCCTGCTCCAGACCCGGGTGGGGTGGGCCCTGCAGCCAGCTTGACTTATTTATTCTTTTGAGATGAAATTCACATAACAAAATTAATGACGTTAAAGCAAACAATTTAGTGGCATTTAGTGCTTTCACCCTGTCCTGCAACCCTGACCTCCACCTCCTCTCAGAACACGTCCTCACCCTAAAGGGAACCAAACACATTAAGCAGTGGTCCCTGTTGCCTTCTCTCTCCAGCTCTGGCAACCACGATGTCTTTTCTGTATCTGTGGATTCCCTGTTCTGGACATTTTCACGTTTCCCAGGCTCGTCTCTGTCGCAGCGAGTGCCTGGGGATGATGTTTGCGCTGCGCACTGGGCCTCGCTTTGCTGGGAACGTTCGCCGCCCGCATTTGCCTGAGGCGTCTTCGGCTCTCCGGGGACTGCGCCCCAGAGGGGAATTTCTGGGCCTGTGGGAATTCCGTGCTCACCTTTCTGAGGAAGCTGCTTTTGCACCGCGGCTGCACCCAGCCCGACAATGCACGAGGGGGTCCAAGGCCTCCCCCTTCTCGGCGCACTTCTTTCTGCTTTTCTGAAATCACAGCCATTCTGGTGGATGTGCCTGGCTGGGTTTATGTCTGTTTTCTCGGTGAACGTGTGCGGGGGTTTAGGGGACAGGCGGAGACAGCAGTGAGGAATCGGCGGACGCCCGGGGGGCCCCCTCGCTGGGTGCCCTCCCAGGGTTCCCTGGGACGCGGCGGGGTGGGGAGGGGGCCCAACAGCCTCCCCCAACAAACGCCCCCCAACAGCCCCCCCGCCACGAACGCCCCCCAACAGCCCCCCAACGAACGTCCCCCAACAGCCCCCCGCCACGAACGCCCCCCAACAGCCCCCCACGAACGTCCCCCAACAGCCCCCCCCACGAACGTCCCCCAACAGCCCCCCCACGAACGCCCCCCAACAGCCCCCCCCCACGAACGTCCCCCAACAGCCCCCCCCACGAACGCCCCCCAACAGCCCCCCCACGAACGCCCCCCAACAGCCCCCCCCACGAACGTCCCCCAACAGCCCCCCCAACGAACGCCCCCCAACAGCCCCTCACGGCCACGAACGTCGCCCAACAGCCCCCCGCGGCCCTCCCGAAGCCCCCGGCACCCCCGACCCTCCGCCCCTCCCCTCACCCGCCTCCCCTGCACGTCCTCCCCGCGGCGGAGTCCGGCAACGCTCGGAACTAAATTTCCGCGGACAGATCCTCCTGGAACGTGAGCTCTTGACTTTGGTGTCCAGGAAAGACCCCGGCGCTCCGGGCACGTGGCCTCCTGGCCGCGCCGCCGTCCTGGCCGCGCCGGTCTTTGTGTTCGCGTTTCCGCCGCGGGGTCGCGGGAGGCGGCGCGCGAGGGGCTGTGGCGCCCCCTGGTGGCGGAGTGCGGCCTGCGCCGGGCGCTGCTGAAGCGGCCACGCGCGGAGGAGGCGGCCACGCGGGACTGCGGAGGGGGGAGGGGGGGCGGGGCCGGGGACAGTGGCCTCTTTGGACCCCGCGGCTTTGAGGAGGCCCCGGCGCTCACTCCCTGACCCCGGCGTCCTGAGCCTGCGTCCAAGGGGTTGCCACCTGCCTCGATGCCGCCTCCCACCCTCCACTCTCGGCTGCGTCCTGGGCTCTACACCGGCTGGGGTGCAGGACTCGCTTCTAAAAAAAACGGCAGGACCAGGACGACCAGGACCCCGGGCCCCTGGGGCTCGCGTTGTCCTCTGCACTGGCCCCTTCAATCCCCCGACCCTCCGCCCCAGGCCTCCCATCCTCCACTCTGACTGCAGCAGGAACCTCGTGGGATGAACACGTGGAGGGAGCTCCCTGGGATGCTGGGCTGGGCACAACCACAGGGGCCCACGGCCCCTACGCTGACCTTCCGGAGCTCCCTCGGCAGCCACCCTGGAGGTCCAGAGACACCCGGGCTCGGCCTGATGGGAACAGAACTGCCCCGACCTTGTCCCGGTGGGCCTCTCTGTAGGGTTCCCAGGACTGCCTTCTAGACCCCTTGGCTGCTGGGGTCTGACAGCGGGGTGGACAGCCTTGCCCAGCCTCAGGGCCGTGCAGCGCCAGGGGTAACTGTGGCTGTCCTTGCACTGCTGCGCCTAGGGCTGCCCTAAGGAAACGCAGTCGGTCTCCAAGGCTGGGGCTGCCTCCATGGATGCAGAGGGCCCACTGGGGGACTTGAACTTCCGTGGCTTTTGGTATCTGTGGGGATCCTGGAACCAGTCCCCCACAGGTACTGAGGTACTGAGAGATGACGGTACCACAAACTGGGTGGGTTAAAGAGAAATTAAAATTCTCACAGTTCTAGAGGCTGGAAGTCTGGGATCAAGGTGTGAGCTGGCCTTTTTCTGGCGAGGGCTCATACCTGGCTTGCAGACGGCTGCCCGCTCTGTCCTCACACGACCGAGACAGAGAGTGGGTGCTTTGGTGCCTCTTTCATAAGGACAGTAATTCTATCGGATCAGGCCCCACTCCTACGGCCTCATTTGACCTTAATAACTTCCTTAGAGGGCCTGTTGAACACTCGTTCAATGAACCAGTTGGTGAAAAAGATCACAGTCACACAAGCTAACCTGCAGCACACACCACGCAGTAGTGGGGAGGTGGTGCGGAATCAAAGTGTGTGTCCCTCTGCCCCAAATTCCTGTGCTGAAGCCCTAACCCCGGGGACCTCAGGATGTGGCTGTTTGGAGATGGGGTCTTTAATGAGGCCATTAAGGTTAAATGGGATCATGAGGCGGGCCCTGATACAATCTGACTGGTAGCCTCATAAGAGGAGATGAGGATCTGGGGAGAAGACGGTGTCCACAAGCCAAGGAGAGGCCTCTGGAGAAGCCAGCCAGTGGACACTGTGACCGCGGACCTCCAGTCCCCAGAATTAGCAAATAAACGCTTGCTGCAGACGCCGCGCAGCCGGTGGTGCTGTGTTATGGCGGTGGCACTGACTAGCAGAGGGCAACTCTGCAGCCCATCACGCCGGGCCTGTATCCGGGCCCCTCGCACCGTCACCCCGGCCTTGCATCCTGGGACTCCTCTCCCCCCTCACGCCGGGCCTGCATCCAGGGCCCCCTTCCCCCCTCACCCCAGGCCTGCATCCCGGGCCCCCTTCCCCCTTCACCCCGGGCCTGCATCCCGGGCCTCCCCCCTCACACATGAACACGCTCTTTATCCAAACCCAGTTTACCTTTCAAAGGAGGAATCTTTTATTTTATTTTATTTTATTTTTTTGAGACGGAGTCTCGCTCTGTCGCCCAGGCTGGAGTGCAGTGGCATTATCTCGGCTCACTGCAAGCTCCACCTCCCGGGTACACGCCATTCTCCTGCCTCAGCCTCCCCTTGCCTCAGCCTCCCGAGTAGCTAGGACTACAGGCGCCCGCCACCTCGCCCGGCTAATTTTTTGTATTTTTAGTAGAGATGGGGTTTCACCGTGTTAACCAGGATGGTCTCGATCTCCTGACCTCGTGATCCGCCCGCCTCGGCCTCCTAAAGTGCTGGGATTACAGGCTTGAGCCACCGCGCCCGGCCAAAGGAGGGATCTTGAACCTGGACTGACTTACTAGAGCTCAGGTGAGAGTGGATTATTATTATTATTATTATTATTATTATTATTTTTTTTTGAGACAGAGTCTGGCTCTGCCGCCCAGGCTGGAGTGCAGTGGCCGGATCTCAGCTCACTGCAAGCTCCGCCTCCCGGGTTCACGCCATTCTCCTGCCTCAGCCTCCCGAGTAGTTGGGACTACAGGCGCCCGCCACCGCGCCCGGCTAGTTTTTTGTATTTTTTAGCAGAGATGGGGTTTCACCGTGTTAGCCAGGATGGTCTCGATCTCCTGACCTCGTGATCCGCCCGTCTCGGCCTCCCAAAGTGCTGGGATTACAGGCTTGAGCCACCGCGCCCGGCCGAGAGCGGATTATTATTACTCTCTCTCTCTCTCTCTCTATATATATATATTTTGAGACAGAGTTTCACTCTCGTTGCCCAGGTTGGAGTGCAATGGTGCCATCTGGGCTCACCACAGGCTGCGCCTCCCGGGTTCATGTGATTCTGTCTCAGCCTCCTGAGTAGCTCGGATTACAGGCACCACCACGCCCAGCTAATTTTTTGTATTTTTAGTAGAGACGGGGTTTCACCATGTTGGTCAGGCTGGTCTCGAACTCCTGACCTCAGGTGATCCACCTGCCTCAGCCTCCCAAAGTGCTGGGATTACAGGCGTGAGCCACCGCGCCCGGCCTATGATTACTATTAATTAGCACCACAAACCCACTCCCTCTCCTGTCTGGGAGCCCAACCTAGGTTCTCCTTCTAGGGAGTGCAGGGCAGTGTGGGCTGGAGCATCGGTCAGTGTCGGCCTGAGTGGCCGTCCTTCCCCTGAAATGAGGACCCAGGAGATGAGCAGGGGGTGCTCTGTCCACTTCCAGGTTTTGGGCTCTGTGTTGGGAGACACCCAGGGGTTGCCACTCCTGGAGGTCACTCTGAATGCTCCTGAGCCATTCAGTCCCATGGCACCTCCGGAGGGGAAGTCACCGTCCTGGGGCCGCTAAGTCACCTGGTGTCACACCCACCTCCAGCCGCCTCACTCCCTCGGCCCGGGGTCTAGCATGAAGACTGGCTTCAAGATGAGGTGCTCATGGGCACCTCCCCCAGAGGCACACTGCACCCTGACGTTTCTTGGTAAACAGGGTTGCCTGCATTTCATGCCTAGTTTGTATTAACCAATGAAATTCATATTTTAAACATTTTGCATAACTGGAAATGTATTCCAAAATGTTTTGCTTTTGACATAGTTTTGTGAAAAGGTGAAAACAGAACATGCTTGTGTACACACATGCATACATGTCTGTGCACACACGCATGAACACACATGCCTTCGTGGAGGTAGGTAAGCATGTAGTCAGCACTCCCCAGAGCAGCCCTCAAGTGTCTGCTGTGTGGGCATTAGGAAAGGGAGGAGCAGGCGGGGTGGCCGTTGTCACCCTGAGTGTCAGGGAGTTCTCAATGTGGCTCCCACGTTGAGAACGCATGTTGCAAATGTGTCATCTGTTCTGTGAGTGACACACACTCTCTCCACAAACTCCAGCCTGGCTCCTCGAGTCCTCCTCTGGGCGAAGCCCCGTCTTTGGTCTGTGAAGACTTGGACAAAACAGCAACATAGTTTCTCACAGCCCAAGGGTCTGCCATCGCCACATGCCCACCTGAGCGAAATGAAGGCTGAGGAAGAAACTCCTGTTCTGACACCTGAGGAGACACCCGGGCAGCTGCCAACCAGGTGGGCTGCGTGCACATGGACCAACCCCTGCCCACCTCCACTGAGCCCTGGTTTCCCTCTTCTCTCGTATTCTCTGTTTTCACTTTACACAAACTCTTTTGTGTGTGTGTGTGTGTGTAAACACAGGGTCTCACTCTCATTGCCCAGGCTGGAGTGCAGTGGTGCAATCTTGGCTCACTACTGCCTCGACCTTCCAGCTCCAGAGATCCTCCCACCTCAGCCTCCCAAGTAGCTGCAACTACAGGCATGCGCCACCACACCCGGCTAATTTTTGTGTTTTTGTTAGAGATGGTGCTTTACCGTGTTACCCAGGCTGGTCTCCAA